GAAAAAGAAAAACTCCAAATTTAGATTAACAAAAAAAAAACTCCTCAACAAATTAAGAAACTCCAAATTGAGAGGGCAAAACCACAATTTTCATCCGTGAAGAAAAATCAAGTTTTCGACACAAAGATAAGCTCCAAAAAGAAAACACTGTAATTGGGGTTCCAAGAAAAATGCATAGGAAGCGGAGTCTTCAGTCAACCTGTAACCCAGGCCAAAAATGATAAAAATATACTGTACTAATTCAGTCCTCTCCAGGACAAACAGGTGCTGCTTAGAACTTCAATTTTTACTCTATAAATGCTGAGATAACATTCTCACTTGAGACTCACAGAGGCATCTCAAACCCCGAATTGATGATCAATGAAAATTCAACCATTACACACACCAAACAACTGTACTAGTTTATTGTAAATTGACTAATGATTTAAAAAATTCCATAAATGAATCAACTAATAGATAACTGCACAATGTTCTGATAATCATGCCACAAGCAGATACTGAATAAAGCCTTAAAAGTTGGTCCAAAGGGCTGTGCAGATACCAAAAACATCAACGGTTGCATTCTGAGTAAACAAGAATAAAAAGGTCCACATGAAACATTTACTACTGTCACCACGTATCCAATAAGAATATAATGAAAAGGAAAATAAATAACTGGGTGCATAGTGATATGAAAACACCTTGTGTAAGCGGATATTATTTCGTCCTTAGTAAAACTATCCTCTTGGGAACCAATCTCATGCAAATATAGACAATCAGGGTTGCTGCATGGCTGGAAAACAAAACAAATAATTCGTTATGAGACACCATGTATGACACCAATACGCTACAGTTACATATTTGAGTACATATGTAATATGTAAAGACCCATTAACCAATATGGAGTTCTTGATTTGAAAATGATTCAGAGATCATACCACATTTCTCAGCCATGCATGACAGTATTTAGTCGTTCCAAAGCATGCCCTGCAATATGAAACTTCAAATGACTATCCAACAACTCAAAAAGTGATCAGAACACAAATGTAGAGTTACACTCGCCTCAAAGATCTACCCTCCAAAATGAATCCATGTACGGACTGGATGCAGCACACTGCTTCTTCCTCCTTTGAATAAGTTATATATCTAGGCCAAAAAAAAAAAGGTAAGACTAAAATAAGCTAAAATAATTCATGACCAAGTAAAATATAACATTACAGTGCACTCTAAGTACACTATACACTAGACGACACAGGTATGAAGATATAGGACATGTGGCCAATGCTTCACCGACAAGTAGACAAAATTGGACATATAACATATTCAATGTTCATTTGCTGCAAAAGTAAATTAAATGGATTAAAATTTCATTTTTAACACCTGTGAATTTTGAAACTAAAACAACATATCATGTACATTTCCAATGGAACTCAAGATTTACACATCAGGTCTATGTAATCATCCTGCACCAAGGCTCCAAACCCATCCTATGTCAGACCAACTTACAAAGAAATTTCGATCATGCTTCAATTATCGGTATAAAATGTTGTCCTACACAACTTCGAAACCAAAATCATTATAATTTGGACTTGAACACTGTAATACTTGCAGAAAAATGATTTGGCATCATTAGAAGAAACTTACACGCTGCATGTACTATTTGCAAACTGTTGTATAGCACCAGCTGCTGTCCGAGATATAGACACCTTCACCACCTTTCCATACTGACCAAAATACTCTTTACGCTGGAGAAGCTGTTTCAAAACAAATCAACAGTATTTAGACCATGAAAAGAGGAGGAAGGGAAAGAGCAATGATAGAAGAAGCGCTTACGTCTTCATCTGCTAAATTAACTGGCAACCCCACAACATAAACGAGATTCCTTTGGACCACTCTTACACTGCTAAGTTGCTTCCTTCCTTCCGATATTTTGATCTTACCCTTTTGTGACTTACACTTTTTCTCCATGCTCATCTCTGAAACCAACCTATTATGATGATCGTAGAGATCATGATGATAGCAGAGAACAACATAATCACCTTGCTCATCAGCAAGAGTTTTCATGGCAGATTTCCTCTAAAATACCAATAGTGAATTACCTTTCACAGTTTGCTCCAGTTCCAACAATCTTTTCCTTGTTATAAGGTGTACGACATGCTGGACACCGCCCATCTGTCTCATCTTTCTCAGCCATATCCATAATATGATGCCAGCACCAAACACAAATCTGCAAAATTGAAAAAAAAAATACAGAATCTCAATATGCAGAAAATAGTTGTCCACATGACCAAGATCAAATAAAAATAGCCCTGTATAGTCAACAATATGACAATACAACTTGCACAAAGTAGCTAAAGAACCACAACCAACTTCAACATCATTGTGTGTGATCTTCTAAGAGAGAGAAAAAGAAAAGAAAAATTGGGGACACTGAAACTTCTGCTTCTTCTTTCCACAGTAAACTTGCTGTGTATTTTATTATGTTGGCTGACGGTTTATTAAATTACAAATCAAATCATAGAAGCAGATTTTCTGCAAGCTCAACGAAACCATAGTTCATCTTTTCAGAAACTTCCAGCCGACTGAGAAGAATTTTCGTATGAATTTTTAAAGCCAGTTGCTTTCTTCTACAATTGTGTCTATAAAAGCATAAGATCATAGCAATAAAATCATATGTTCCACTACAAAATCCTGATTAAACATTCTGTAACAAGATCATTGAATAGATGGGAAATGGACTTTATTTCAAGATTACCATTCAATGCTAAATAATTCAAAAATTTCCTTCCAGAGTATGCTACTGTGCTAGTGGGTGGGAGAAGTCTCAATTTTCTTCAAATCAATTGGTTTCCACATCCACCCACCACTGAAATAAAAAGAAAATACCAAAAACAGACACCCTCGAAAATTGAACAAAAGGAAAAGAAGGAACAATCATAATTAATATCTCCCTGCCCTCACAACAGTTGTTTAGAGAGCTAGCTGAAGAGAGATTTTTTGCCTAGTTGACAAGGCATGTACGTTCTCAAATACCCTTTATTATTGAAGCAATTGCAACTCAGATAGATGGTAACCTCATTTTACTTATCGCTCAATCTCTTTAACTTAATTAAGATTCCAAGAAGCTAATATCAATCCTATTTCTATAATCATCAACAAGAGACTTTTACTGCCTTATGTAACCTTAATTTAATCAAGGTTTTCATCACAATGCACAAACATATTTTATCTCATTTTTAGACAGTCTTGCACCATAAAGGCATAGGGCAAGAAGAACTAATGGAAATTATGTCATTGTAGTTATCATCATGCAGAGTTCATAGTTGATTAATGAGATAAGGGTCGAGCACCAATATTGAATCTTGAAGCAGGTGTGGGTCGGTGGTGTTGAACCTAGAAGGCATTGTTTTGTATGAAATTATTTGGTTTCAGGAATGCCGATCACAATATCACATGAACGCATGTACATGGCACACCCATACACAATAGTAAACTATACTAACTTTTACAAGGGTATTTCTAGTCAATAGATTTTAAACCAGACAACACCAGTGTATTCTCTCATTCACTATGTCAATGAAACAAAGCAAAAATCAGACACCTACAACTCATAGCATGTCCCTATGGCTAAGGAAGTACTTCATGCCATTAAAATATGGTATTCAGATCCAACTATTCATGTTTCCACAAGACTAACAAATGAAAATGTTAAAAAAGTTTTATCACGTTTAGGCCTTTTCATGCAATACCAACTTCCTGATGCTTCAACATTCATTTATATATATATATATATATCAAAAACGAAACACAAAGAGCTTCCATCCTAATCCTACTTAGATGCCATAAAATCTCTGTCATGCTGAAATTAGATAGTGTAAAATCCAAAGCTGCAAAGCATACATTGATAAAGAAAAGACAGTTGTCTCACACAAATAGATCCTAAATAACAACAGCTTGACTCTCTACCTTCTAGTCATTTCCTCATTTTTATATTGGTACCAAATCGAATATGAGCCAATGTATATTAATCCCAGGTTCATAACCTTTAACGTGATTTCCATTAGACTCTTTGCATTAATGGAATAGGAAGCTGAATTCCATACAATTCATAAAGGGGGCACAGTGGACAGTTGTAGGACAGTGTTGATTCCAGAAACATTGAGTTTAGGCAATTTAAGGCATTAAAATATGATGAAATAGAAGAAGTAATAACCTCATAGCCACACTTGCAAGGCTTCAACTGCTGATCAGTCAAATCCATCTCCTCAGCACAGAGGGGACAAGTCTTTTCTCCTTCGTCACTCATGGTTGCTTAAAAAACTTGAATATCAAGCAGTTAGATATTTAAGGTACTTGAACACGGATACTTACATATATCTAACAAAAACTGAGACCAAAATATCATAAGCCCAATTCAAATTGAAATGTAATGGCAAATTAACAGTGTTTCAACATTCAACTCACTGAATATAATATCAACGAGGTAAAATTTTAAATTCGATAAGTTAAAAACAAATGTTAAAAAAATTCGGAATCTAGATAAAAACAACTTAACTTTAGAATAAAACCCACTTTTACCAACCCAATCCAAAGTCAAACCCTTAAAACTTAAAATCCAGGACAAAAAGTACACGCACATTTTAGCCATTTTAATCACCCGACTCTCAAATAATAAATACAAACAGAATCAAACCAAAATAAATCAATCCAGATAGATTATAAAATTGAGCTCCGTTGTGACAAACTCTAATTTTAGACTTAACAAAATCCAGTAATAATTTAAAAAAAAACACTCAGAAGCCGCAACTGGACTTAAATCAACCAAAAATCAAAAATCGTTCTCTCCATTTTCAGACCAAAAAAAATAGGGATCTAAACAGGAAATTGACAGAGGTGCGGCGACTTACAGCGGATGATTGGATCGAGAAAGGGATCTGAGATAAAAATCGATATAGAGATAGAAATAGAGGTACAAGGACGCGTGTTCAGAGAAAGAGAAATGGAGTAGAGGAGAGGGAGAAATGGCCGACTGCCTTTTGATGATGGGTTGTAGCTATTCGGGTTTGGATATGGTTTCAGTATCGGGTCGTGTCACGAGTTTGAGATCTCCCGGTCTTGAATGCAAGTACGTTGCAAACGTCAAAAATAGAATACCATTCGCTACCTACTAATTGTAGAAAAACCAATAATTATTATATTACCAATAATTTTAAATTTATTGAATGATAATAGGAAATCATCTTTATCAAGAATTTTTTTAAAAAATAATAATTAATAAAAAAACCACGTTATATGTTGTTGCCAAGCTTGTTACGGTGTCAATGGAGATGGATGGCCGTGAAACGTGTGTCCTTGAAGATTTGCATTTTTAAATTTAAAAAATAAATAAAAACAATTAGATCGAGTCTGTTTCTCTCTATTTGACCCCAACTCTCATCTCTCGTTTGTTTCCTTGCTTCTCGAGTCGGCTATTGGCTTCTCTGGAATAGGTAAAGGACTCGGGCATTCTTGAATTTTTTATCAATTTCGAAAATTTTGTTTTTGTATAATTGTTTCATATGTATTATTTATTTCATATCAATTCTCCTTTTGAGATACATATTTTTGTTTTACTTTTCGTTTAATTATATGTTTGCTTTTATTTATGTTTACCTTTTTCAATTACTTATATTAGTGATGATTATTTGTTCGTTTGGCCATAGTTCAACATTGAACGAATAAATAACTCAATTATTTAAGATTTTTTTAGTTCTAATAGGAAATAATTCTTCAACTTGAAAAAATAAATAAATAAATATCAAGTCCTTATATATTGGTTATTTACTTCGTATTATTAAATATATTATTTACTCTACAAGAATCAACTCAAAAGTTCTTGAAAAGTAACTTTTTAATAAAAAGAAAAAAGAAAAAGAAGAGAGACATACACTTTCGACTACGTTGGGGTGCTAGGATTATTTTCTACGGATTCATCAATCCTCATATCAAGTTATTGACGTCACCACTAGCTCCCATGAATCTAAGTTAAATTTAAACATTATACAAACCAAAATTATCACTCTTCATATCCAACTCATAAAGCAATCATACTTAGCACATGTTTGGTTGTAATTAAAATTAAAATTTTAATTTAAAGTAAAATCAACAATTAATTTTAATCAAATATTTTTTTGGTCTCATAACATTTCAACTGTACATTTCATCAACTTATATCAAAATTTACTAAAAATATGATTTTAATCCCTATCAAGCAGGGGCTCAAAGATTTTCGTACACGTGGGCAGAGCCAAGGAGTATCCTAGGAGGGCCACGGGCCACAAAGTTTCCCCCTTTTTTGGGTTATTTTATCTTTTTATATTTGAAAATAAAAGATAATAAAGGAAAATACTTTTAACTTAAAAAATGTAAATTGTTGGTAGCCTAATGGTAATTTTTTTTTTAAATCTACACACAAGGTTCTAAATCCTCCTACCACAATTTTATTTTTATTTTTATTCGGCAAATTTTGTTCAATTAGTTCCCAACCTATCAGCCTCTGGAAGAATTCGTTAAATCTTTCAAATCAAACTTTTTAATCCCTATCCTTAAGTTTCATTTGCATATTTTGTTCTTATTACATAATTTCATTTACATTAGCATTAGCATAAAGTTTTCCCTCGTGTAAGATGCACGAGCTAATTTTCACAGGTAAAATGAGCAAGATATACTTGATACATAACCTAATTTTTAATATGATTCATTTTCATTTCCTAATAGCTTTGTTGTTTATTTTCGTTGACATACAAAAAGTGCAGCCAAAATAAAGTAGTTCAAGGGATAAGATCCAGTTATGAAGTCCAAGATGAAGGCACAAATAGGACCATTAAAAAATACAGTGGAGGTCCACGAATAAAGTACCGTCATTGTCCAAACTTACAAGACGCCCAAGTTTTGAGCTAGTGGAGTGCCTGAAAATCGTCAAAAGCGAAAGAGCCTATTCTCGCACGAACCTTCGAATCGCCAAGATCTTAACAAACATAAGGTAATATGGTTATTCAAAACAGCTGTTATTAAAGCGATTATTGAGCAACCTTATCACAACCTGAAACAAACACTCTCAAATAGAAAATATGTAATTTCAATTTCCTATATTAACTTTAATTATCTATTTTCAGTACTCGTGTACTTACGCTCCTTGAAGACATTCTGTTTATTTCCAATTGTAACTTTCATCAATAAAACACATTTTTTTGGAACTTTGTTTCACGAGATCCGTCTTTTACACAATCGTATGATCTATTTTATAATTGTTAGCGACAATTCGCGCGAAACAACTTCAAATGCCGCTCTCCTTCCCTTGCTGGCTTGCTAGCCAATGCTAATGATGGATCCTCGATAAATAGTACCGTTGACTAATGTTGAGTCCCCAAATGAAAAGTCCTAACTGTGCACCGCTTGTGCATTCGAATGGTTAATGAATTTTTAAGGTCAACAATAATGAATAAAATTGCAGTCTGTGGGTATTCGGTCTTCCCACGAGCCCATTGTTTGGTGACTGGAAAGGAATCTCCGTTAAACTCATAGCATTCACACGGGCTATGGAGATAATTTAACAAAATGCCCTCCAAATGGGTAATTATCACATGTTGCCGTGTAGGGATTTCTTGCTACCCTTGTAATTTTTTCACTTTTTACTTTTCAATTTTAAGATTTTCTTAGTTTTTTATATAAAAATTAAATTATTAAAGGAATATCTAATACAAGTTTTCCCAATAAAGAATGAATGAATGCAAAAGGTAAAGTCGAGAGAAATTGGGAGAGGAGAATATAAACGGCTGCAGTAGAAAGAAATTAAATAGATTAAAATAGATATTTCCAATAATTCTTTAAAATGGATGGTAATTGCATATGATACTCAAATCAAGGTGTTAAATTACAAACAATCGGGATACATTATCAGAAAAGTTTGAAGAAAAAATTGACATAATGTCACATAGCATTATATTATTTGACACGGCCAATTTTTTCATCCAATTATCTTCTGCTACTACTTCATTTGTCATTGTATTTGTCAATTCTTTCTGACAAAATTACATTTTTGACTTTCCCCTTGTTTGTTGGGCATTATTCAACTCATTAATAGAATAATTGTGACCGTTACTAATCAAAGTGATGTATTTGTCAATTCTTTCTGACAAAATAACATTTTTGACTTTCCCCTTGTTTGTTGGGCATTATTCTACTCATTAATAGAATAATTGTGACCGTTACTAATTAAAGTGAGACCTACCTGTGAGAGCTTTGTCAAAAAAAAGGCCTGCTAGAAGGTACAATAACAGTCCAATTTTTTCTAGTTTTGGTAGAATAATGCACAACAAACAGGGGCTTTCTATATAAACTTTTTTTGATATTTCTAAATAACTATAAATTAGATAGTGAACTGATCAAGACTCAAAACCACATTGTAAATCACAATTTATTTTGTCAAAATCCGGTAAGAAAAAGTGAAAACATTAAATTAGAACTCCTTAGGATAGACAATAAGTGCTTGTTTGAGAGAGATTTTTTGGGGAATAATTGATTTTGAATAGTGATATGATGAGAAATGTGTGGTTGAAAAAGAAGAAAAGATTATTGATGTGATGGAAAATATTATTTTATTGAATAATGTGTAGTTGAAAATGAGAATTAATTTAATATAGAATTTTGAAAATCCCTCACAACATAGAGCCTAAATATATACGACAAATTAACTTTGACTAAGGCCTCAAAACTACAACATTTGTCACTATTGTTAACTTCATTTGAATATAATAAATGTATCAAAAGGGGTATTTTATATAATTCTCTAGTTAAATAGTTAATATATTGTCTAGGGTGTATATTTTCATGCCCATTGGACGTCCCTACGGAGGAAACTAGATATGCTCGACGACCCTACTCAGCAGAGGTTATCGTAATGTAATGTTTCTCTATCACAATCTCACCGTCTCCCGTAACATACTAAATACATTATGGCATTCTTCCGTTTCCTAGGAACAACACTTCCTCGTGATCGATCATACTTCTGCCATGACCTATTCCGCCCTCCCTCGCCTCTCCTACTGTACCTTTCCCCTTGAACAATGAAGTCTCACGCTGAGCTCAAAAAAATGGATCACACTTATTTGTAAACTTCCTATTAAAAATAAATAAGCTAAAAGAATTATTCTAAATGTACAACTAATTCACTCTTATGAATCCTCAAAACCATAATGTTCGTACACTTAATTCTCAACTTTGTTTACATAGAAATAAAACAGATTAAAAGGATCTTAATTAGGTTGTCGATGATTTAATTTCGTCTAAGACCGCAAAACCATAAACTTTGTCACACTCGATTTAGTGCGTGCATGTTTAGGAAGTGTTAAATTATTATTGTGAATTTTATCTTTTTCCTTGCACACCCCACTCAATTGAATGGTGCAGACTGCAAACGATTTGGTGTACAATTTTTTAGGGGTGTCCAAAAGTTCATAACCTAATCGAGCGTTTCTTCATAAATTAAATACTCAAACGGGTTCCCGAATCGAGAACCGATGGGTTTGAGTCGGATCTTGGATCTAGACCAATAACCGAATAAGAATTTAAACTAAATAAATTTTTTTATTTTTTATATTGAATTAATTAAATTATTTTGTTTTTTTCTAAACAAATTAATTAAATAAATCAGAATATTTCATAATTTTAATTTTAAAACACATTAGTCCATTTTAATTTGCTCATGACTACATGACTATTAGAATTTGCTCATTAAATTTAAAGCCTTCAAATGAGATAAAATTTGTAAAAGTTACGAATCAAGTGTCATTAGTTATATTTATGTAATGTTGCTGTAAATATTAAAAAAATTAATTATAGTACGGAATCGAACGGAACCGAACCGAACCGAACCGAACTCGAACGGTTCCATTATATATTTGGACCAGATGGTTCCATTTATTAAATATCCAAAAATTTTGAATCGATTCGATTTTCTTCAGAAATCGAACCGAACCACGAATAATCCTATAATTTTTACTCGCATACAATGGTAGAAATTCATGGATTAATGGCCTAGAGGTCAATTTTGTAATTTCATTTAAAATCATCGCACCGAAAAGTCAAATCAAGACAAAATCCTGCGACTTACAAACCAACCCGCTTTTTAAATCCTCACCTACCTACCATGAAAATGCCCGTCGTTTATTCCATCCACACTAATCCTAGCCATCTAGTTGTGATTTCGATATTTACCGTCCGATCATTTCAATCCAACGTCTCTCATTCAGTTACTAGAACCTTCTCTCACTTCAGCCTTATTCCCCATATTTATTACCCCACATTACACTTTCATCTTCAGTTTCACTTGTGCTCACCACACTCTATTTCTTCCTAGGGTTTATACATTTTCTCTAAGGTCAGTTTGCTTTTCAGATAAGGATTCATCAACCCTTTTTATAAGCGATAATGTTCTTTAGCCTTGACTTTTCGTTGAAATGCTCGTAATTATGTATTTTTTTGGTTTATGATTTTGTTTTTCTGTGTGATTGTATAAATGAATCTGACTGTAGAAAGCTGAAAATGGTGAAGAACTACCCAACCGTCAGCGAGGAGTACCTGAAGGCCGTTGAGAAATGCAAGAAGAAGCTCAGAGGCCTCATCGCCGAGAAGAACTGTGCTCCTATCATGCTCCGTCTTGCGTAAGTGCACATCTCTATTCTAGATTTAATTTTTTCTTCTTTTTGGGATGTAAATAATTTTAGAATTTAGATTTGCGGACGTGTTGATCGGCGTTTTGTTAACGCTTGCAGTTTACAGAACGATATTTCCATAGGCTACAAGGAACTCTATTGCTATGTTAGCAAATGGGGTTAACTTAGTGAATCGATCAAGAATAGAGCTATGAAAATGTGTAGCTTTGACTAGAAAAGTCAACTTTTGAAGTTTTTAGGTTGAGTTTGACCAGAAAAGTCTGTTTAGGACATTTGACCTAAATGGAGTATGAAATATCGGAGTTGCTAAAGACACGATGTCCGTGTGACACTTTTGCGTCCTCCTATAGGCTTGCCGGAACTGGATCCTGAACATGGGGTACAAGTGCGTTGACATTTGAGATAATGTTTGTTGGTTTCTTAATCTATTTTTTAGTCGGTGAACTGATAAGTCGAGCACAAATATAGATGTTTTTCCTTCATTGGATAGTTTTAAAGATGTAAAAGGATAAAGGGAAGGCTTCTTGACCCTCCGATTATGGAGTTAATGAACATTATTTTCTTAGAAGATCGTATGCAATTTGATCAATGCCATTATGCCCTTGATCTTCACTGATTGTCAAGATTTGTGCAGCCATTAGCTCACCTAGCATTTGATAGGATATATTTAAAATGTCACCAGACTGACTCTGGTTGCCAATCCAGCTAGTTCATATCTGTGCATTTTATTTGTATTTATGAGATTTCCTACTTGCACAAACATATTTTATATGCATGTATGTGCAGTGTAATGAATCATATTGCTTTTGAGTTGATTATGTTGATTTGTGTAGAGTTTAATGATGTTGGAAATTTGTCGTGTTTGTGATGTAGATGGCACTCTGCTGGTACATTTGATGTATGCAGCAGAACTGGAGGTCCTTTTGGGACCATGAGGTTCCCTGCTGAGCTGGCTCATGGAGCCAACAATGGCCTTGACATTGCTCTTAGGCTCTTGCAGCCCATCAGGGAGCAATTCCCTATCCTTTCTCATGCTGATTTCTATCAGGTAGTTATTGATTCAGAAAATTTATAATATGGAATTCACTTGGGTTGTTATATTAAATATCATTTTTTAAAGAGTGAATTATTTTCATCCTCTTCTTTAGTTGGCTGGCGTTGTTGCTGTTGAAGTTACTGGAGGACCTGAAGTTCCATTCCATCCTGGAAGGCCGGTCAGTGATTTCTTTAACTCAAGTGATGCATTTAACAATTTCCTGTTTATAACCTGCACATATGAATTGGAATATGGACATTTTTTGAGTTATGATGTAGTATGTTAATTATTAAGAATCTGCTTTAAGCATTAATTAACATAAAGGCTTACGACACTGTAAATTCATGAATAACATTTTTATTTAGAAGTTTGTCCTAATCAAATTCTTCACACATTATAGTGGTTTCCAAGTCAATTGTATTAATTGGAACTTAATTAGTTTACTTGGAACCAGGATTTCTCAATTGTTTATAATGATAGGAAGTCAAAACAGCTAGTTTCTTCATCTTTCATACTTGTTACAAATAATAAAAATATTATGGATAATTTACAGTAAAATTCTATAGCCTCTTGTTGTCTCATCGTTAGGTAGAATTGTTCTGCAAGGACAATTAATCTTTTTTATACTTTTGTCATGACTTGAAAGACATTGTATTTCATTGTCTCAGGACAAGGCAGAGCCTCCTGTTGAAGGTCGTTTGCCTGATGCTACCAAGGGTGAGTTGAATTACTGTTTCTTGTAGAAGTATTGTTTGTGAATAGGAACCTGAGATAATCTCGACTTAATATCTTAGTTTTATTAGAAGTTTCTAACAGGAAAGTGTCTTAAATTATGAATACAGGATCTGATCACTTGAGGGATGTTTTCATCAAGCAAATGGGTTTGAGTGACCAGGATATTGTTGCACTCTCTGGTGGCCACACACTGGTCCGTATACCAAATGGAAAGTCTTTTACTTGCCGGCAATTTGTTATAGCAATTTTAATGATAATTTTGTCTTTCTAACAGGGACGTTGCCACAAGGAACGATCTGGATTTGAGGGACCCTGGACCACAAATCCCCTCATCTTTGATAATTCTTATTTCAAGTAAGATCTGTTTGTATTTGTTGCCACTTGCAGTTTTAGAACCTTTTCTTTCGATTACTAATAATTGGTCTGTATTTGTCTTTCAATAGGGAGCTTCTCAGTGGAGACAAAGAAGGCCTCCTGCAGTTGCCGTCTGACAAGGCTCTACTCTCTGATCCTGCCTTCCGCCCACTCGTGGAGAAATATGCCGCCGACGAGGATGCATTCTTTGCTGATTACTCTGAGGCTCACCTGAAGCTTTCTGAATTGGGATTTGCTGATGCCTAAGCTGTTGGGAATATGATGACAAAGTAGGAGTGATGGCTTATTTTGTCTAGTATTATGTTCTAATATGGGTAAAGCTCGACAGACCTTTTGGGTTCCTTTTGCTCGTTTTTATTGATGTTTTGGATTTTGAAAATGGTGCTTTCGATCACTATATGGTCATTATTTCCCTCAAAAATAAAAACAGTGCAGAATTATTTTCCACTCTGCTTGTTTCCGTGCTGATATTGGATTGAGGAATGCTATTTAGCACAACTGAAGTTGCAACATCAGTTTAGGTGATGTGAAGTGTCGATGAATGAAAGATGCAATTAAATAAATTACATGATTTTACCTTTATATTTAACATGAACATGGATTGGTGCTTGAGCATGTGCTAGATAGCAATTGGATTATATTTTGATTTGGTGGGTCGTGGATGTGGTCTTTTACCCAATATTTTGGGCCGTAGAGCTGCCCAATAATCAATTCACTTTTTTTGCGTTAAAAAAATAGTTAAAATTAATGTTGATTTCTCATTCTCTAGAAATGAAAAATGCTAGAAAGTTATTATCGAGTAGAACGTGTATCGAGTCACCCTTAATTATGAATCATTCAAATTTAACGTTGTTGGGCGTGGAAAGAAACTGCTTTTCAGGAGGGAACAAGAAAGCCATGACTGCTTTTCAGGATGTAACAAGAAATCTGACATATCCCTCGTGAACTACTCACGATCAATGACCATTCCAGTAAATGTTTGTCTCTTTCATTGCCTTTTCCAACTTCTCGATTTCGACAACCTGATAAAGCGTTCATACCATTCTTGCATCTTGGCTCTTTAAATGGAGGTGTACATGAGAAAAGCAAGACTCCGTAGGCTTATTAGTAGGTTAGACAATTCAATGAACAATTGTGTTACAACTGCAGTTCTCAATATGCACCGGGTCAAGACATCATTCAGGTTTTAATTTTCAAAATTCAAAACTCTTGTGTTAATTAATTAATTAAAAATATTTTATTAATTAAATATGCTAAGGTCACAATTATATAATTAATGATCACATGTGCATATTTATAACTTATTTTTTTGGTCACATATTATCAAATTACTTGATCATAGATTATTTCATGGTCACAATAAAAAACTTTGATAAGTCACAAATAAAAAAATTCATAAGTTACATGCTTTCAAATTAGTTGGTCACAAATTATTGAATTTTTAGATCACAAATAACCTAATAGTTGGTCACAAACCATCACTACCAGCGCGACCACCACCGCCAACACAATCTAATAGCTCCACCTCATCAACACAGCCCCACATCCAACAACACAGACACGGCCTCAACAACTCACCACCACCATCGGCCATTTCACTTTCAATAGTGAACTGGCTGCAACAATGCGAATTGAGCGCCACACACAAATCTGAGCATTAACTTTGGACGAAATATTAAATCATATGCCCCAATTCTGGCTTCAGATCTTAGATGCGGCACATGAGCTCAAAGCGACGACGACGATTTGAAATGAACAGATGCAATTCGCCATATTGAACCTACTCCTAACTTCTGCGGTGTCCCCTTTTGTCGAAGAACCGTAGAGGTGCAGCGTCGCCAGTAGAGGCGCTAACTCATAGAGCTTTCGAGTTTCACCTCAATGCGCTGAAGCAATGTGATGGTGACGTTGGGGGAAGGGGCGGATGGCTGTGGCGAAATGGGTTTGCAGTGGAGGGAGAAGTGGTGGTGGAAGAGAAATGAGTATATAATATATGACAACGATGAAGGAAATAATTTATTGTAATGGCGTTGGTAAATTTTATAATATTATTAATAATTTAATTAATATATGATTTTTGGTTAAATAAACCTCTTGCCTGATTTTTGAATTGAAAAACTTAAAACACCTATTTATATGTAATTTCCTCTATGCACGGGCCCATCTTAGACCAAGTGACCCGGCATGTGACAAGCATGGCTTGACCCGTGAAGGACCGAGTTGTGGGCTATCCCGCTTGCACGCCATGGCCCATAAAAAATAAAATCAGGAAAATGTGTAAAACCTCGTGGGCCAGCCCAGATAAATATAGGCTGCGTATACCTATAGGAAAGTGCCGTGCTGGGGCAAGAAGTGATCACATGTGCCATCTCAAAACCCGACAGCTCACCTCACAGGACTAGACAGGTTTATATAATGACTAGATTCTTATAGTCGGCATGGGAGATACAGAGTGAATACTGAATACATTGTCAATAGAATTAGAAGACAACCCTATTCTCCACTTGTACATTAACTTTTCTGTTGCCACTATCCTCCCAACTTCAATTTCCAACTACTTTCCTCTACTTGTTCATTTCAGTAGTGTCAAGTGGAGGAAAGCAACTATCAACTTGTCCACAAGACAACGCCTTGAAAAGAAAAGAAAAAATCAACTGAATATTTGACTTCATTCAAGAAAATAGTGACGAACAGCAATCCAATCTATATATCAGTTACACGAAAATTTACACTCCCGAGAGGTAGAGCTAACTTCAATTATACAACACCACTAATATCACTATTCGAAACGTTGTAACAATTTATCTTTGCCTGCTTGCACGTTCACACGTGTTAATGTGTCACCAGAAAGTTTGATCAATCACGAGTATATTATCCAAAACAACTATACAGTCACTGTCCGAGTTCTTGAGATCATTACCTGTTGGGATCAGCAATTTATTACAGTGGAGAAGCAGAAGGTCTCGGATAAGCAGCAACAGCGTTTTTATCGATGGCATCACCAGTACTTCGTCTACGTTGTCTCTGCCTGTTGCTCATTTTACTGCTAATGTTCTCTACATTTTTCAAATCCTGAAGTTGCTCCAGTTCTTTGACTATTTCGTCCATGGTTGGCCTCAACTTAGGTTCAATGCATATGCAACGCAATGCAAGGGTAGCCACGCGATGAGCCACATCCATTGAGTACTGGCCTTCAAGGCGGTTGTCTAGAACTCGAAAAAGTTTACGCTTGTTTGCTAGGTAGGGTTTGGCCCACTCCACCAACTTGTGCTCTCCAGATGGCTTGTTTTTGTCAATTGCTCTCCTGCCAGATATCATTTCAAGGAGAACGACTCCATAACTGTACACGTCACTCCTGGCAGTTAAATGACCTAATTCCAAATAACATATATGAACATTAGATGAGAACTCAGGCATTTAAATTATAGTAATGTTCAACTAGAAAGCAGAATCATACGACTTGATGAAGCTAAAAATAAAGGTACAACTAAGTCACTTGGACAAGCGTACTAATGTGGTGGTCTATAAGCGAATGAACTGCTAAAGAAAAGACAACTACTGAGAGCATTTTTGGCTAAACTTAAAAATAAGTAAAATTTACTTCAGAGTACCTTGCATTCCCAAACATGTTTAAAATAAAGTATTTTATCTAACATTCTAGTTAAAAAAAAATAAAGATTGCAAGTTTCCAAAGTAAATCTTCCTATTGGGAAAATTAACTTATTTACTTATAAGTAACTTTTTAAGCTTAGCCAAGCTTTCTCAAGTTGCAATTTTAGTAGGAAGAGGTCTCCATCAAATTGCCACTTGAATGTGGTCCTTGAACAAGGAGATATTTCACTCCAAGAGGGAAGTCATGGTTTAATTATCTTATTCTTCTTGAAGGATGTATCATTACAAGACAGGGATAGTTGATGATAAGCCACACAGTTGGTACAAAGTGACATGTTTCAAACCCGTACCAGTCGCTAGATATTCTGGAGCTGCATATCCGTAAGTTCCCATAACCCTTGTGGACACGTGGCTTTTATCACCTGTCGGTCCATCCTTGGCTAACCCAAAGTCAGAGAGTTTTGCATTGTAGTTCTGCCATATCATATGATAAAAAATTTAATAAAATTAGCCGATGTAACCTGAAGTTTCTTGGAATACGTAATGTACTTATTTTGGCCCAATAAGAGACAGGATTATTTACCGAATCAAGCAATATGTTGGAAGTTTTTAAGTCTCTGTAAATAACTTTCGTTTCTGCATTGTGAAGAAAAGCAAGCCCCTTTGCAGCTCCAAGAGCAACCTTAAGGCGAAGACTCCAAGAAAGAGGCTGGAAATAAGAACCTCCTGTTACATTGAAGTTGCTACGTCAATTTAATAACAATTGTTTGGATATTTATATACATATTTGCAAAAATGAAGACTCACTCCTAAACAGGTGGTTCTCTAAGCTGCCTCGAGGCATGAATTCATACACCAATAGGCGATGCTCATCCTCCAAGCAATAGCCAACCAGTTTCACAAGATGAGGATGAGAAAACTGCCCCAAATAGTTCACCTCTGCCTATAAGCACAAACAAAGTAAATTAGAGTCCGTTTGTAATTGAACATTAATATGCACGAGTTGAAATTTCGATTAATGGTTTAAACTTCAGGGAAACTCACCAACCACTCCCGGTGGCCCTGAAAACTTTCCTGGTGAAGCCTTTTTACTGCAATAACCATGCCAGTCCCAGCCTTAGCCGCAGCAAATGAGTTCTCGTCAATCCAACCCTTAAAGACCGAACCAAATCCGCCTTCTCCGAGTACACTGTCGGGCCGAAAGTTCCGAGTGGCGATCTTGAGATCAGCAAAATTAAAGTTCTTCAGGTTTGAAGCCTGCAAGATCTCGTCCTCACTCCGAGGAGTAGGTGGCACCGATACTGACAAGAACTTGCTACTCGAGTTGCTCACATCACTTCCACTCGTTCTCTCAAATTTTGAATTTTCCCCTAACAAATTCAATCAATAAAATATTTATAAAATACTAAGAATCACCGTGCTTTCTTCTGTAGAACAACACGTTCCTAATTCCCTATTAAACATCTTGAACCTCATTCTTGTTTTGTGAAACTACCAATTCACAGAGGATATTTGAAGCTAATATTTAAAAAAATAAATGGGAAAACTAAAAAATATTGAAGAAGTTACTCTTAGCGTCTACATGTGCAGTTAAATTTGACCCAGAACCAACACAAACTGTCCTGATTGATAACCAAATACAAAGTTTTTAACTCTGTAGATAAATCATACCACATAAAAATTTATATTAAAAAAAATCAAATATACCTTTTATTGCACAAATTAACAGGAGTTCTTGAAGATTCTAAAGGAAATATATCCCTGTAAATATTTACCTGTACGAGTTGGGCTGCTTTCAGCTTTGACTCTAACACTCAAACAAATCCCCATGGGAAAAAAGAGAATCCACCTTTCTAAGTTTCTGAAGATCATAAAAGGATTCAAAAAATCAGATCTAAGGCATGAAAATAACAATAAAATATATTTTAAGAAAAGCCAATAAACATGTATGAATTGAAGAAAATAAATGCCAGCTTCTATTTCTTGAAAATAAGCTCTGGCAGCAAAAGAGAAACAGAAAAAAGATAGGATTCTCGGGTGTGAAAGAGGGAGAAGAGGGCTAACTAATGCATACTCAGTGGGGGTACTGTGAAGGTAGGAAGACGAAGGTATTCCTGACCTCCTTACTCTCTCTATATGTAGATGTGCATAAATTGACTGCTGACGATAATGCTCCCGGCTTGAGTCGCTCAAGATTTATTTTCGTGGCTCGGCTAAATTACGCCCCACTATTTGTTTAACATTAAAAAAAATATTCTTCTTTTCACCAGGGGTCCCCCTCCACCTTTTATAAGCGTGACACCATTGTCTCTAACTTAACCGTTTGTTGCACTCATGGCCTGGTTAATGGAAAATGTTTAGAACTGCACTACACGTACAAAAAATGCAGCCATAAAAATGAACGCTCACATGATCTGTATTTTTTCTGTAAGAATTTATTCTATACATGAGGAAAAATTCAAATGTTTATTTGAAGTTTGAACATTGAATGGACATATAACATATATCGCTCAAAAAAGTAAAATTGTTCAAAATATCTAAACGATTGATTACTTCAACTTCCATTTGAAATTCGAATAAACTAAAATTTCTTAGAATTCATGAAACATACATGTTTCAACTCATTTCGACTTCATGCGGATTTATTCTTAGCTCAAGCGATAAGAAAGATGTCTTATCATACTAATTATTTGAGTTTGAGTCTTATAACCTTCGATTCTCTTTATTATATATCAGTTTTTTTCATTGTCTCTCCCTCTCTCTTTTTTTTGGGGTCCTTTTGCCATATTTTTGTATCCCAACTTGCATTGTGTGACAAGGAGAAGACGAGTAAGGGCATGAATCTAGACAACACAATTAATGGGCCACGAGCAAGGTGGGTGCACCCTTCAAGGAAGATGGTTGGCTGAAATAATGAAGCCAAAACCAATGGGAAATCATTAGCCTCGAGTATCTTGTGAATACAAAAGGTCAAAAAGGAAAAAGAGAACTTTTTTAGAAGCTCAAACATAAATATGCAGTACAATTTGATTTTCTTCATTCATCACGTACTTTTACTTATTCATAGGATACAATTCAATTCCACACTTCATTATTGACGCAATACATAATTGAATCGACTCATGATATGCGCAAACTCAATTTATGCGAATCATAACTAGATGTAGAAAACTTAGGAACAGAATTAGGATCAATCAAGGGGCTTGAATTTTTATATTTCTAAAAGGACTTTAATAGTACAAGGAAAACGAAGAAAACGAAAATGGGGCACAGTAAACCTTACCTTAAATTTGCATTTTAATACGATAAATGGTCTAGGTTCCACTTTGTCCACATCTAAATTTGCCCTTGAGAAAGTGTCAATAAGTCAAAGTGTAAAACACAAAAGAATGTACACAAACAAGTAACCCAAAGTTTTAGCTTTTGACTTGTATGACTATCTATGATATAATATCTTGATCATGGTTTACGAAGACTCTACATCCATTGCCACCTAATTAAATCAGGACCGTCAAAGTCGCATACTACATTCAATCATGTTAAATTATTTTATAATTAATATCAACCAAGTACTTTTGCTTAACCCGAGCTCCATTATTTCACATTTTAATAAGGGAGGTGCTACAAGTAAATCGGGACATAAGGGTGTCCATAATGAACACTCGGCACCTCCCCGTTGGATGAAGTGCAGGTGGGGTCGGCACTTTATCCAATGGAGAGGTGTCGGGTGTCCATTATAGACACCCTTATATACTCCATAATGTACAAGTAGCATTTTTCTTTTAATAAAGAGAACAATAATTTTTTAAAGAATGTATGGCCGAAAAAGAAAGAAAAGTTTTTAAGTTTATGTATAATATTTTTATTGAAAAATGCATGATTGATAAGAAGAGAGAGAAAAATGAATTTTAATTTAACGGGGCAAACAAAGATTAATTAGCTGTAATTATCCAGTTAATGTTGCTTGGAGAAGAACCATTATATTGATATATTCCTTGGTTGGACCGGATCTTAGAGCACATGCATGTTTGCCAAGTGTCCCAGGAAGCTGTGGCTCGGCTTGGTATCAATTCATCTTGAAAATTCACTGGGAAAGATAAGGGAAAATTACTGTTGGGATCCCCAACCTATTTGAAATTCAATAAGCGTATCCGTAAAGTTTAATTTCGTACAAAAAGGTCCCCAACCTTTGAGTGAGCAATGCTATCAATTGAATGTCAGTAATTTTATTACATGTGGGTCCTCAATAGAAAGTTTCTAATATTAAGATGTTAGCATTGCACGAATCATTCTTTGGAGGGTAAAATAATAAGAAATTAATTTTAAAGAATAAAAAAGAGAAGAAGTATGAGAATGAAAATGAAAAAGAAAAAGAAAAAGAAATCAAACCTGATTCACATCAAATCACTATTTCAAAATGTATTTTAACAAAAAAATGAGGCTCAAACAAGTCCATATTTTTATTAATGTAATGAAATGTGTAGTTAAATTTTAGCGCCTCCTTGGAAGGGATCTTCCCAAGATTTGAAGCAATTTTACAATCGTTGGGCTGCTCGAAGTGGGGTCCAATGTAGTTGTTGACTTTGTTTGCCCTTCTACTAAATTATCACAATTTTCAAAGATATCCTTTAAGAATAGTCAAATATAATGATTGAAAGAAGTGTGTACAAAGTAATTCAAAGTAATAAAAATGATACTATAGACTTTTATTATTTTTTAGGTGATAATTTCTACTAATGGCTCAAATGTCTGGCAGCAATGGAAAAGCGGACAACGGCCAGATTTGGGCTAAAAATTTTGGGTAAATTCCTCCCGGCCAGGGTTTTAATATGACCTTTAATCCGAACCAAACGGACAAAACAAAGGCCTTTTGGTCCCCTTCAAATTTTTGTTTGAAGTATTTGGTTGCCAAACCGTCAATTTTGAACGTGTGGGTCCCATAGCAGCTGGTACCAATTCAACTTTTTGAATGGGCTAGGCGCCGCGTAGTTTTGACCATTGTTAATTGACAATTATACCCCTGCCTCATTGTGCAATATGCTTAAACCCCGTCTGACAACCAAAACTTCTCGGAAAAAATAATTTTAAATAGCGATTTTTAGGAGAATGTATTGTTAAAAAGTAGAAAAAAATTTAGAATTACATGCAAAATATTTTATTTTGTGAATATCTTATTGAAAATAAGTATACATAGAAAAAATAATTTCAAAAATATGATTGTAAAACATGGGCTAATTATTAGTTTGATACCCACCTTTAGATGATAATCAACAATATTGGATGTTACACGCAAAATATCAAATATAATTGAACTTTTGACGTACAAGTAGCAAAATTCTTATTCAAAAGAATCGACGAGTGTAAAGATTTATCAGTTTGATTTCAGGGGTATTAGAGTACTTTAACACTGTAAAAGCTTTAGAGTGCGAAACTTCCATAATTGTTCCCAATCAACACGCATAAAATAATACTCATCCCACCTCAGACGTTGAAGTTGTCATCAAATTGCCCAAAATCTTTCCAATTTCCTCAAAATCCATCAAATCGGAACTTATCTCAAGAATTTACGTAGCCCAACTCAAAATTTTCTTCAAAATTCAAGAATATTTTGAGGCGGATGTGGGGCCAAGAAAGCCGTGCACCTGTGGCTGTCGGAGCCGGAAATTTTAACTTGGCAGCTAGTGATTGGCTGCACAGACGAAATGGCAGCATCATCGGCGGCGAGTTTGCTGGTAATAGTGCAGAAAGTGAGCATGACTTGGCTACTATGGTGAAAGATTTCTGTGAAATTGGCAGTGCCGGAGCTGATAGTTGGTATAGCAGCGACAGCGATTCTAGTTTCTCCGACCTCGCTTTCCTCTCCGACAAGATCTCGGTTAGTTCCTTTTTGGTTCCATACTCTGTTGAACCACCCAGTCTAAGAGCGTTCAGAAGGATGAACTGTTCGAAAATTTCTTATTCTTTTCCACTTTCATCCTCTGTATTCAGTACATAGTTTCAATTTAGATCTGTCTGAACTTCATGTGGGATATAAGCTACTGGCTTGTGTTTCTTGTATGGAAGCAGTGTAATTTGATCCAGGAAAAAAAATTCTTGTAGATGCAACTTCTTCTTAATGGCGAAAATTTATTGCACATAGTTGTGTACTTTTTTGGGTTTCCAATAAGCAAATATTTAATCTGAAAAACTGCCGTAGTTTGTAGCCAACAATTTTTTTGCATCCTGAAAATATTTTGTTTGAAGAGCATGTGGGGACCTAATAGAAGTAAATTTGAGATGTAGTTTTGTATTTGTTCTATTTTCAGACACTTTCCTTGTAAATTATACAACCAATCTTCCATTTTTCTAATAATCTTCGAAACGCAGTTGCATAAGCACACACTGGATCAGTATGAAAGTGACTTGATATTGGTTGTCAATTCCCTAATTCTCTCATTATCCAATTCGAGAGACATTAGGAAGTCCGATGCATGCAATGCTAGCACCATCCGGTATTCTCTGGTGAAGCTGTTGCAATCTTCAGGTTATGATGCAGCTATTTGTGCTACCAAGTGGCATGGCCTTGGCAACATTCCTGGAGGTAAGTTTACATTTTCGTAAATGAAGCTTCTTATAATGTTTGGAATAATCTCGACGACATTGCATTTATAATAGACGAGATTTAGCTTCTTCTTTTTTTAATATAGTCGAACAATCATCCTAGCAAACAAGCCATAGTTGTTCAATAAGGGATGCCTTTTAATTTATTGTCATAGGTGTCACCGATCAAGTTGATGACTTTTTTATTTGATAAATTACTGTAGGTGAACACGAATTCATAGATGTGATATTCACCCATCAAAATAGTGGATGCTCCGAAAGGTGCATCATCGACATTGACTTCCGAAGCCACTTTCAAATTGCGAGAGCTATCAAATCGTACAATGTACTTTTGAATTCTCTTCCGTCAATTTATGTAGGCAGCACGACTAAGCTCAAGCAATTTCTTCAAATTATGGTTGAAGCAGCCAGGTACTCTCTTGAGCAAAATTCAATGCCTCTTCCTCCATGGAGATCCTTAGCTTATTTGGAAGCCAAGTGGGAATCTCCCTGCGAAAGAATTGTTAATCTTCTTCATCAACATCTTTCACGACCACTGCTTTGATTTACGTCGGACACTATAATAATAAACAACGTTGTCTGTGAACCATGGCAATAGAGTATCATGTTCTGGTTTTGCCCTGAGCAAGGTCCTCTTGCAATTTTTTTGTTGTCTATGGTTTAGAGAGTGTAATAATATTTTTTTCTACATGGCATGACTGAATATTTGATACTTATTTTTTTTGATTAAAGATACATAAAAAAACCACCTATGTTTTCTGCTGTCATTGTAATGTAAATGGCATGAAAGCTACATTTACATAAATTTTTATTTCTTAATAAAGAGTGCTGATTGGCGAAGACGAATTCGCATGGTCTTTGGTTCAAATCTGAGAAAGAAACCCAAGTGCACTTTTTCTTAGTGTGTATTACTGTCCGACATGGAAGAAATATAAGAACAAGTCATCCCACGAAATTAAAATGACCTATCTCCGGCATGCTATTTGAAACAAACTTATGTCTCCAGCATGCTGAGATTATCAAGTGTAATGACAGTATATGAAAATATCACACACATTCATAATGGGGAATGCATTAGTTCGTTGCAAATCCAAATACATTAACCTCTTATTTTTGTTAACATATCTATGCAACACTAAAATATGACATATCAACAATTAATTACCAATAGCTATAACAGTTGTGTGAGTAAGAGTGGATTTGTCATAGACTAGCTGATATGGAGTGATTTCAGGGTCTTCTTCCTGCGAAATTAATTTACATGATGTGTATTGGGACATGATTTATGAGATGGATTATTGTCCATTTAGGTATTGATTTTACTTGAATTATGTCTAATATGGATGTATCTTTTTATTTAGGTTGTGTTTAGTTTTAATTGAATTGAATAAAATTTTAAATTTATTTAGTTATTCTTTTTTTGTGAACGGTTTGACAGCTTGCAATGGTTTACAAATACTGAAACCTAAACCAAAAATCAAAACGTTGACGGATCCACGTGAATTCAAACCAACGGTTTAAAAAAAAAAAAACGATTTCGACTCGATTTTGCGATTTGACGATTTCGTTGTTCAACCATAGTATGTAGTAACAAACAAATGTATTTTGTTTGAGCAATAGAAGTCATGAAAAGTCTTGGAAATCCAAGATCTTCAAGGAAGTCTTGTCCATCAAAATACATTTCGACGAAATACCACCGGAGCCTAAGCATGGTTCGTAGGCCTCCACCTAGACTTTGTGGAATGGGAGTTCGGATTCCCCGACCCTATTTTACGTATGAATTTGAAGTATATATAGGTGTGGTTTGGAGCAGACACCGTGACATGCCTGCACTACATCTTGAGAATGCATTATTTATATGGAAGGTAATGATGTGGCTTATACTTTGGCTACTAATGTGGTATCAATAGGGATAACAACGGAGTGAGTCCGGTCACAGCAACCTCCTCCGCCCCTCGTCCCGTTGGGTAATTTTTTGCCTTGTACCCGCGCACGTTACCAATTTAAGGTGGGGAGGGGCGAGAACCTTGCCCCGCTTACCACATGTTTATTTATTTATTTATTTATAAATTTTTTATAATTCATTTTATTGCCATATTCATTAAAGCGAGATAATAATATATTTTTTAATTTATTTTTAAAAGTTAAATTATTCAAATATATTTGATAAACTAAGAACTTTATTGTTTGTCATATTTATTAGATAATTTTAGTTGACATCTTCTATTAAAACTAACAAAATTTTGGTGGAGTTTTCCATTTAAATTATTCAATTCTGATATAAAATAAAATATTAAACAGGTCGGGAGGGGTACTTGTTACTCGTACCCGTCGAGGCGAAGTCACCCACCACGTCCCCGATCTGAATACCCGATTAAGCCGATAATCCCCACCTCAATTGAGGCGGGCCCACGGGTATGAGATTTAACGAATTTTTTTGTCATTCCTAGTATCCATAAATTCGCCACTTGGTGGAACGCGACTCCACCTTTCTACTCAAATTTGGCAAGCTATGATATCTTTGGGAGTAATATCATTTATCACCACGGGTACTAAACATCAATTCAGTTGCAATTACATTGACATTAAATGATATATTTATTTAAATGCAAAATCATATGACTCATTTAATTCAACCTATAAAATATAGTCACTTAAATTGGTGCTATATAGCGTCACTTTATGTTCGGACATTGTAATTATTGATTTTGTTAATTTTTTTGGATGTCGCTATTTTCATCCACAATTATTATGTATTCATCTCTAATATAGTATTAAAATTTTAAAAAATTACTATTTTTATCCACGTCAAATTTCAATATTGTCCTTATTAAATTCATTCATTTAAACACTCTCCTCAAATTTTATGTATTCATCTCACTCTAAATACATCTCTAATACAATTTCAAAATTTTAAAAAATTACTATATTCATCCAAATTTTAATGTAAATTGTTAATCTTCTTCATCAACATCTCTCACGACCACTTCTGTGATTCACGTCGGACACTATAATAACAAACAACGTTGTCTGTGAACCATGGCAATAGAGTATCATGTTCTGGTGTTGCCCTGAGCAAGATCCTCTTGCAATTTTTTTGTTGTCTATGGTTTAGAGAGTGTAATAATATTTTTTTCTACATGGCATGACTGAATATTTGATACTTATTTTTTTTTATTAAAGATACATAAAAAAACCACCTATGTTTTCTTAAATTTTTATTCTTAATAAAGAGTGCTGATTGGTGAAGAAGAATTCTCATGGTCTTTGGTTCAAATCTGAGAAAGAAACCCAATTCTCGACGAGAGGTGCACTTTTTCTTAGTATTACTGCCCACAAAATTAAAATGACGTATCTCCGGCAAACTATTTGAAACAAACTCACGTCGAGCTGAAATTATCAAGTGCAAGGATGTAAGCTAAAAATGGCAGTATATGAAAATATCACACATTCATAATTGGGAATACATATACATTAACCTCTTCTTTCACTTTTACATATGTCATGCGCAATTCATCATAGTATGGATAAAATGCAAAACCCAAAAATTTTCAATTTTATTTTTGTTAACATATGTATCATATGCAACATTATAATATGACATATCAACAATTAATTACCAACAGCTATAACAGTTGTGTGAGTAAGAGTGGATTTGTCATTAGGGGTGGGCACGGGTCGGTTCGGTTCTGTTTTTTTCGGTTCCAGAAATTTTAGGGTATTTAGTAAATGGAACCGTCGGTTCCAAATATAATTTTGGAACCGTTCGGTTTCGGTTCGGTTCCGTACTATAATTAAATTTTTTAACATTTAAAATAATGCTACATAAATACACCTGAATGTAGATATTAATATTAATAACAAAAAGTAGATACAAATATCAAATTCAATCTTAACTTTTACAAATTAACGTAATCTAATTTAATAACATATCATAATAAGTTGTCAAATATAAATACCAAAAAGTAAATATCACTAATAAAACTTCGATGATTCATATCAATAATTCATTTGTTTCAAACCTTCAAATCTACATAAAAATGAAACATAAATTAGAAGTTATAAAGATAAAATATTTTAAAGTATTGATAATACTTACCAATTATTTAATGTAATCATCAATTGGTTGATTTTTCATACTAACTACTAAGAAACTATACAAGAAAAAATTGAAAAAACACAACTAACAAACATAAATAAACTCTAAATTGTTCAACTAATAAGATTTAATAAGAAAAAAATTATTAATTTGTTTAGAAAAAATAAAAGAAATTGATTTATCCAATATAAAAAAAAAATTTCGGTTCTTATTCGGTTCTTCGGTTCTGGGTCTAGAACCGAGAATCGAACCAAATCATTCGGTTCTCGATTCGGATACCCGTTCGGGTATTTCATTTTAAAAAACCCGCTCAGTTCGGTTCGGTTCAATTCGGTTCCGGTTCGGTTCGGTTTTGATATTTTGCCCAACCCCTTTTGTCATAGACTAGCTGATATGGAGTGATTTCGAAGTCTTCTTCCTGCAAAATTAATTTACATGATGTGCATTTCGACGAAATACCACCAGAGCCTAAGCAGGGTTCGTAGGCCTCCATCTAGACTTTGTGGAATGGGAGTTCGGATTTCCCAACCCTATTTTACGTATGAATTTGAAGTATATGTACGTGTGGTTTGCAACAGACACCTTGACATGCCTGCACTACATCTTGAGATAATTAATATATAGGTGGGGAGGGGCGAGGCCCTTGCTCCGTTTACTACATTTTATTTATTTTAAAATTTTTGATAATTCATTGTATTGCCTCATTCATTAAAGCGAGACAATAATATATTTTTTAAATTATTTTTAATAGTTACATTATTCAAATATATTTGGTAAATTAAGAACTTTATTGTTTGTCATATTTATTAGATAATCTTAGTTGACATCTTCTATTAAACCTAACAAAATTTTGGTGGAGTTTTCCATTTAAAGTATTCAATTTTTATATAAAATAAAAAATTAAACGGGTCGGGGTGGTGTACTTGTTACCCGTACCCGCCGGGGCGAAGTCACCCACCACGTTCCCGATCCGAATACCCGATTAAGCCGGTAATCCCCACCTCATTCGAGGCAAGGCCCATGGGTACGAGGTTTAACGAATTTTTTTGTCATTCTTAATATCCATAAATTCGCCACTTGGTGGAACGCGACTCCACCTTTCTACTCATTTTCTTTGGGAGTAATATCATTTATCACCATTGGTACTAAACATCAATTCAGTTGCAATTACATTGACATTAAATGATATATTTATTTAAATGCAAAATTATATGACTCATTTTATTAAACCTATAAAATATAGTCACTTAAATTGGTGCTATATAGCGTCACTTTATGTTCGGACATTGTAATTATTGATTTTGTTAATTTTTTGGGATGCCGCTATTTCCATCAACAACTATTATGTATTCATCTCTAATAAAATATTAAAATTTTAAAAAATTACTATTTTTATCCTGTCAAATTTCAATATTATCCTTATTAAATTCATTCATTTAAACACTCTACTCAAATTTTATGTATTCATCTCACTCTAAATACATCTCTAATACAATTTCAAAATTTTAAAAAATTAATATATTCATCCAAATTTTAATGTAAAGTAACTGAGAAAGCAATACTTCTGTTTAGAGCAATCATTAATGGTGGGGACAAGACATTCATCTTCTAACACAATTTTGTTCTTTCAAAATCAAAAATAAAAACGGATGAAATTTTTCATGTATTTTCTCTCGTGGTAATGCTAAATTCGTGGAATTCACAATAAAACGTAATCCTTATTTTTTAAAAATTTTCTTCATATATTGCTATATATTCATATATTTTCTTTGATGGTAATCCTTACATTGTTGTTTTGATTTCAGTTGAAAATGATATTTTATGATAATTAGGATTTTATAATCTTAGTTAAAGATGATATTTAATGATTATTAGGGTTTTATGATTTTCGTTGAAAAGTATATTTTTTTATTATTAGAGTTTAATTAGTTAAACAAATTCTAAAATAACAAAAAAAATGTTCAAAATAATTTAATGAAAATAAATATTAGTGGATAAATTTAGAAGGATGTATTTTTATTTAATTTTATATATATCTATTTAGATATATTTATATAAAATTAATATATATTTATATTGTGAATGTAAATAGCGCCTCCCATTATTTTTCGCATGGTGTAACCTTGGTGGCTTATACAATATAAATCCATGTATATTTTTATTTCATTTAATAATGGTTCCTTCGTGTAGGAGTAGTTTAGTAGGCCAACTTAGTTGGGACGTACCAATTGATCGTGAGGGTATCAATTTGGCTCGTTGACTCGGATGGTCCGGAGAAAGCCTAGCCGACTAGGCCTGAGAACGAGCCATACGGGTCGGCTTTTGACGAGTCGAGCCTTATTAAAAAAAATTAAAAGCTACGTGTAGCATGTGTAAAAAAAAATTGGGAATCGGCTCAATTCTATAAGGACCGAGTCTAGATTTTTTGGTGGAGCAAAAATTCGTCTCGGCTTGGACCCAAAAAGTCCAAACAATTTTTATTCTAGCTAAGCACGAACTTCAAGTTTCGACTCGACTCGTTCATATCCCTAATTAGTTCCTCATGAAATGACCTGAATTTATCCAAAATATATAACAAAATCATTAATAAAAAATATAATTTCTAAAAATAAATCACATTTTAAGTTTATTTTTACATAACTCGATACACATTTATGTTGATGTTTCTTTATACACAACGTTTGGCTTATGTTGATGTTTCTTTATAAGCATTCAATCTACTATTTATCAACACATTTTAAAGGATCTTTAAGTATTTACCCTTTTCCTGCTCGTCAAAAGGTAATCTATGGGAGAATGTGTTGGTGAAAACTAGTGTTAGCCAATTTAGGTTGATTTTCTCATCTCCGAAATAGTTATTAATGAGTTATTTTTAAAAGAAACCGATCAAGTCAAGTTGGATTTCGATTATAATACAAAATCCAAATCATCTCGAATCGTCCTAAAATAATTTATTTATTAATTTAAAATTTAAAGAAATTCAAAAGTATCAAAACCTCGATCCTCTCATTTCTCTCGCAGACATCTTTCACCCTCATCTCTGTTGACGGCCACCAATTTGCCCATGAAGAAGGAAACCTCAGCGTCTCATCAAGGGAAAGCAATTATAGACAACTAGTTAAGAGCTTGTTTGGTACGAATTTTTGAAGGAATAATTGATTTTTGAATAGTGATATGATGGGAANTTTGAGGGAAGAATTGATTTTTGAATAGTGATATGATGGGAAATGTGTGGTTGAAAAAGAAGAAAAAATTATTGATGTGATGGAAAATATTATTTTATTGAAGAATGTGTGGTTGAAAATGAGAATTAATTTGAGAATCAACTACCAAACACCCCCTAAGTATAGTCTGCATTTCTTAGGATGTAAAAGCCTATAAAAATTTTCATTTTCAAAGTAATTTAAATGGTTCAAATTGTGTTCATGTCCAAATTGACTAAACCAAATCAAATCGATTCAAACATGTTTGTTTTGGGTTGATTCGATTTTATGCCCATACTAATTGGTGCCGTTCAGGCCCAAAAACCCCGACCCAATTGAAAATTTGAAACTATTGTAACTTATAAACATTATTGAAAAATTGAAATACAATGTAATTTTTTAAACGTGGGGATGTATCTGTATTTGTCATAAACTTCGAGGATGAATGTGATATTAGCTCAATTGTGTGAGTTACATGTACGCCACTATAAATAAACACCGCCACCGTTTGCCCTATTTCTTCACCCCGGACGCACACAAATTCTCAATAGTCAGAAACCTAAATCTTTAGCCCCTCTTATCTAAATCAGATCCGCTCAGCTCAAATCCTTCAATGGGTTCCAAAAGGCCAGATTTTGGTGATGGTGCTAGCCCTGGGTCAGTTCCTCTCTCTATATTTTTGTTGTGTGTAAATCTGTGTATTGTATGTATGATTGGATATATTTATATTTTGAACTTGAGATTAAGTTGATGTGTTTTGGGGGTTTTTTTTTTGGACCAGGAAGATTTTCATCGGAGGTCTCGCAAAAGACACTACTTTAGGTACGATTTTTCCTTCGAACCCTTTTACATTAGTTAATTAATTTTTTTGGTGGTGATAAATGAATTTGATTTGATTTTTTTTTTTAAATTTTATCTTTGAAATTTGGGAATTCTGTAGATACGTTTGTGAAGTATTTTGGCAAGTATGGAGAGATTACGGACTCGGTTATCATGAAAGATAGGCACACAGGTCGGCCACGGGGTTTTGGTTTCATCACCTATGCCGACCCCTCCGTTGTTGACACTGTTATCGCTGAAACCCACATCATCAATGGCAAACAAGTGAGAAATTATTTTAGAGATTTGTTTATATTCAGAAAGTAATTACTGTTTTCAATTTTATTGTTTGTTAGTGGAGTTAAATAATATCTATTGTAAGGAACTGGATTTTTCGCTAGCATTTTCGTAGAACAGAAGTTTAAACTCGCTTTCTATTTTCTTTGCCACTCTCAAGATGGAGTTACATTAATCCATTTTTTTTGCCAGGTTGAGATTAAACGAACCATTCCAAAAGGAGCTGCTGAATCCAAGGATTTCAAGACAAAAAAGATTTTCGTTGGTGGGATTCCCACTTCTATGACGGAAGGTACAAATACATAATTTAAGGCACTGTATTTACTGTTGTTCTTCTAGATACTGATCTTGTTTATTAATTGCAATTATTACTTGTTTCCATTGGTTCTTGTTTATAGATGAGTTCAAGAATTTCTTCTCCAAGTATGGGAAGGTTGTAGAGCATGAGATCATTCGAGATCATGTGACAAAGAAGTCCCGAGGCTTTGGATTTATTGTGTTTGATAATGAACAAGTAGTTGATAATATCCTGGCTGATGGAAATATGATAGATATGATGGGTACTCAGGTAAGTTTCTTCAAGCGGTTCCCCGTGATATTGGATGATCGTAAACATAGTTGTCCTAATAGCTCCTGGAAGCTATGCGGTATTTTAACTTTAAAGTTGTCGAATGGTGGAATTTTAGAATTGTTAAAATAGATTTTTCACCAATTCATGGGTCATTTGACACTTAAGTTCAGGTTATAGGTTTTCCTTTTATAGCTTGAAATTTTAGCATAAGCTGTCAAACTTATTTGCAGGCAGAAGTTCTAGGTTAACTTGCTTCTTTGATGTAGGTTGAGATCAAGAAGGCTGAACCAAAGAAACCTTCGAACCCAACACCTGCTCCTGCATATGGTAGTGATTCTAGGGGACGTGCATTTGGAGATAGTATTGGAGGATTTGGCAATTCCTATAGCAGTTTTGGCAGTGGCAGTTTTGACCCTCCTTATAGGTCAATGGGATCAAGTCTTGGTGGTAGGTTTGGCGACTATGGAGGATATGGTGGTGCAAGTGAATTTGGTGGTCGATATGGTGATTTTGCCAGTAGTGAATATGGTTATCGAGGGGATGGCCCTCTTGGCTATTCCAGTCGGTTTGGTTCTTATGGTGGTGGCTATGGTGGAGGTTATGGTGGTGGGTTAGGTGCTTATGGCCGTGGCGGCGGCTATGGGAGTTATAGTGGTGCTGGTTCCGGCCCTGGTGCCGGTTATGATTCCGGCCCTGGTGCTGGTTATGGTGGAGGATTGTATGGAAGTAGGGCAGGTTATAGTGGCGGTAGTCGTTATCATCCCTACGGCAGGTAGATGTTACCTCTAAGCATATACTATAGGAGTTTGCTCGTGTCCCTTGGATATGGCTTCTTTATGGCTCAGATTTGACTAAGATAAACCAGAGTACTAGCAAGAGGCTCAGTCTAGAAGATGAAGGCCTAGTTTGTAACCTCTTATGTGATGCCAATTTTATTTCTTCTTATTTAGTGTGGGTTAGAGAATGGAACTTATGCTGTCATTTTGAGTTAGACATCTTATCCTGTAAGACTTGTTTAAGCTTAGACTGGTTTTGCATTTTCTTAAGGTTCTTCCCCATAGGTATTCTGTTTTACAGGTATTTGATGTTAATTTAGAAATTAAATCATGCATTGTAAGGCAAATCTTTAAGATTGATCATTACCGTAACAGGCTATGGCCAACTAGCTAGTTTTATCATCTCGATGCTTTAAAATGCTACATAGTTCTTTCAGTATGAAGATACAACTAGTCTTGGAACTGCGGTGTTTAGATTCCTGTACCTGATCAATATTGGTGATATAATCAATTTCTATTTCAACTGTGGCTAGCTAGCTTGAGAAACACTCAATTCTCTGGGAAAGCTTGCTTTCTTGAATGAGTTGGAACGATCTTGTAGGGAGCATCTTGGACTGCAGATTTTGTTTTCTAATTTAGCGATTTGGGTATCCCATGTATTGCGTTCTAATGCATTTTTGACTTGCATAAACTTGAATATGTTAATGGATTTTAGCTTGATTCTGGGCACATCTGTTTGGTTCTGTACAATCACAACTGTTCTGTGCATTAAGGTGAAATGGACGTATAAATGTGACAAATAAAGTTTTTGTTATTCAGATAAGGTTGAGACAGAAATGCTTCATCGACAATACTTCAATATTATATTTTTCAAAGTACAATAAAGTTTCTGTTCTCGCAACGTTGAGCAACAATGGCACTGAACCGATGCTCCATGGCATCCATTGCAGCCTGGCAGATCTGCTGTTGTCGGTTTCACCATTGACGACAGGAATAAAGCTAAACCAAACTAAGAAAAGAAAAAAAAATTGCTGACGAGTAAAATATGTACAATCAAAATAATCACGTATTTTTTGAGATTTACTTTGTCTTTTTGCTTCAACGGATTCAATTTCTTAATTTTTTGTATGTATATTAGTGTTCGGATTTTCTATTTCTTGCCAGTTGAGATGATCTCGTTTAGTTAAATTTGACATATGACATAAATTTAACAATTATACTTCGGAAGTGGAGTGGTCATATGTTCGCATCGTCTATAAAGGTATGAACTGAACAACTAGGACATTGGGATAATAATGATCAAACATAGATATCACTGTAAATTTTTTATATATATTTATTATGGATGAACTTATAAATATGAAAAGCATTAAAAATAAGTATTGTAAAGATCGAGGCCTGGGCCTGCCTTACGTGTGATGCCACTTTCATTTGGATGGAACGGTGAGATTCAAGTGCAAAAAAATATAAAATAAATAGATAAAAGAAAGAAAAAAAATGAGAGAACGTTGAAAAGTTTAAATTTTGTTTAAATTGAAATAAAAATTTGACTAATTTTAACCAAATTAAAAGGGGTAAAATGGTAAATTTAAAATAAATAATGAAAAAAAGAACAAGACTCCCCCACCCTCCACTGTTCATAATCTCCCTCCCAGCTAGGATTGTCCGTGGGTCGGGTCGGTTCGGTTCTGAAGAAACTCGAACCGACCCAAGACTTTCGGGTATTTAATAAATGGACCCGTCGGGTGCAAATATAATTATGGAACCGTTCGGGTTCCGTTTGGTTCTGGTCGGGTCGGTTCGGTTCCGTTTGGTTCCCTACCATAATTAAATTTTTTAATATTTTCAGCAACACTACATAAATACAATTAATGACATTTCGTTCGTAACTTTTACAAATTAACGTAGCCCAATTCAAAAACATATACAAAATTAGCCGTTCAATAAAATTAATTCAATGCATACAAATACCAAAAAGTAGATATTAATATTACAGCAACACTACATAAAGTATATTCATTTGCTTCAAATTAAAATTGGCTAATGGGTTTTAAAAATGATTTGAGATTTAAAATTAAAATTATGAAATAATCTGATTTATTTAATTAATTTNTTAAAATTATGAAATAATCTAATTTATTTAATTAATTTGCTAATTTGTATAGAAAAAAATAAAATAATTTAATTAATTCAATATAAAAAATAAAAAAATTATTTAGTTTCGGTTCTTATTCGGTTCTTCGGTTCTTGGTCTAGACCCGACCCAAACCCATCGGTTCTCGATTCGGGTACCCGTTCGGGTATTTAATTTATGAAGAACCGCTCAATTCGGTTCGGGTTTGGTTCGATCCGGTTCGGTTTGAGACTTTTGGACTCCCCTACTCCCAACCCAGCCCCTAAACCAAATCAAATCGACCCATTACCACTCATCGTCATCGCCTTCTCCATCCATTTCCTCTTCAACACAAATTAAATCCCCTTCAATCTAATTCGTCGGTTCTCAATTCAGATACTCATTCTGTCATTCAGATATTTAATTTAAGAAGAATCGCTCGATTCGGTTCGAGAGTTTCGTCCAACTCTAACCACAACTAAGAAATTTTTTCCCATCTTAATTTTTCATCACATAATCAACAATTCCTACTTCCCTACAAACCCAGATCAATTCACATGTACCCGTTGGTTTTTTCACTTTCCAACCAATATTTCTAAATTGAGTAATTATATTAACACAACAAAATTTACTTGACGCATCACATTATAATCACATCATAATTAAAATATGTTTTTTATTAAATACATCACAACAAATTTACATTCTAATCCTAATCCAATAAAAAAAAAATTACAATATTGGTGTTCATGCAATCCTAATCCTAGCACTCTACAAAATGTTAGTGAATGAAATTCGGCTACGTTTATGATATTATGATCCCCACTACTTCAATGATAATCACATTGGTTAGGTTCTCTCTGTATTTTTCGAGTCTCGTAATTAATTTGGCCGAATAAAGAAATTGAGAAGTAAAGCTGAAATCATAAAAATTATGTATAATTGAAAATAAAAATAATTACCTGAAATTTTGATTTTTGCATTTCTTTGCAGATTAGTTTTGTTATGTGTTTTCTACAACGTAAATTATACCGCAAATGTACGGTGTCAAAATTTGTAATATAATATGTAATTAGGATGTCGAAACCCACATGGATTGAAATTCAGTTTATTACCAAGTACTATAATTATGTATCATCTATTTTATCAAAACAATCAAATTATAAGATCGATCGTTTTAAACTAATCTCATGATGAATATGGTGAAGAATTCAACGATATTGCTTCAGTAGAATAATCAAGATGCAAAAGCGTTATAATTTCACCTAATTATCAAATATGATTATCAAAAACATAGTTATTTCTAATCAATTTTTCATGTTTATAAACAAGAATCCTAATGTAATTCTATTCCTTCTCTTGAGTAAATGGTAAAAATTAATTCCAACATTTCTATTTCGAATTAAAAATCAAGTTTATCAAGATCGTGGTTCTTAGATGAAACAAGTTTCATATATTATACACTTTCCCTCGAAACCCATAAAATCTAAGTTGTGTTATTGTTATGAGCGCGCCTACATTTCCTTCTCTCGAGTGTTGAAATTGACTAGCATTTAATCATTCAATTAGTGACTGATTAATTGAAAACATTAAATCAATAACACAAATAAAGGGAAATGAAAATTTAAAAGATAAACATGTTATCACCCCAGATAACAATAAATCCAATATATAGACTCAACCATCTACCTAAATAATGAGCAAAAAATTAAATAAATGTTAAATCTAAACTTTATCATTCAAGAAAAATCAAAATCACAATCACAACAAAAAACTAACATTGTTAAAGATCACTTCGTCGATAAATGGTTGTGGTGGTTGGGTTGCCGACTGTGAACGGGGTTATGGTCGACTGGATCTCGACTAAAATTTTATTTTTCTTTTTTCTCCCCTATTTTTTCGGTCGTGTGTGTGAGGTGAGAAATGTGGATATTTTTGGACTTTGCTCTTATTATAAAAAAAAAAAAAAAGAAATTTGAAGTGGTCAAAGGCCAAAGTAGGAAAATTTCCTCCTATTATTGATTGGTCTCGGTTTGTTTGAAGTCCGATACTATTTGTGGCTACGTCGTCGTTTCCGTCGTTTCAAAGACGGGCAAAATCTAACATCTCCCCACTCTCTCTCTCTCTCTCTCGTCGTAATCCTTGAATCGCAGCAGTGTAAGCCTTCAATTCTTTTTTTTGTTTTTTCCCGTTAGTTAGTCTATCTGCTCATCGTTTAATTTAATTTAAATTGACTGTTCACTTTGTACTTGTTGCAATTTTTAGAATCCTAATTGTTGGAACCCTAGTTTTTGTTACCTTGAATTTCCCTGCTTCTTCAGCTTCTACAGGGCTACATCTGTAATTTCTCAACATGCCGGCTACAGCGGGGAGGGTTCGCATGCCCGCAAACAACCGGGTGCACAGCAGCGCCGCCCTACAGACCCACGGCATATGGCAGAGCGCAATTGGTTACGATCCCTATGCGCCCAATAAAGATGACAAGAAGAACGATGTGGCACACAACAGTACCGCTGCCGCCTCAGATCCCGAGCAAGAGAATGCCTATGCCAGCTTCCAGGGCCTTCTGGCTCTTGCTCGTATTACGGGGTCCAATGCCGATGAGGTCCGTGGCTCGTGCAAGAAGTGTGGTCGGGTTGGGCACTTGACATTTCAATGTAGGAATTTTTTGAGTGCCAAGGATGATGGTGATAAGGAGGGTAAGGACCCGGATGCAATCCATGCAGCAGTTTTGTCTGGCTTGGAGAAGTTGAAGGGGAAGAGTGCAACCAAGAATGAAGGGAGTAGTGAGGATGAAGATGAGGAGAGTGAGAGTTCGGATTCAGATTATAATTCTGAGATTGAGAGAGCTATTGCAGAAAAATATGGGAGAAGGGTTACTGGTAGCAAGTTGAAAGCTAGTAAAAGTAGGAAGAAGAAGGATGATTATGACGACTCTGATGAGTCAGAGCTGGATTCTGGGTCCAGGAAGAAGAGGGGGAGGTCAAAGAAAAGGAGGAGTGGTAAGAGAGACCGTAGTGATTCCGAGGATGAGGACCAAGGACGAAGGAAGGTGAAGAAGGAGAAGAGGAGGAGAAGGAATGATGAGTCATCAGACGAGGAGGAAGAACGGAGGCGAAGGAGGAGAAAGAGTAGGAAGGAGAAGAGGAGGAGTCACAAGCATTCAGATGATGATTTATCTGATGATTCTGCTAAGAAGCGGCATAAGCGGAGGAGCAGGAAGGCCTCGTCTGTGTCCAATTCTGATCTCAGTTGCTCGGATGGTACTCGAGTGGGCAGGGACAAGAAGCGGTCTGAGAAGAAGAACAGAAAACATTGCCATGAAGAGGACTAGCTTCTGGCGAAGGTGATGATCGTATGCTCTTTAGTTGCATTTACTTATACAAGATCATGAGTGTGCTATATTAGAACCTTAGATCCACTTGACAAGCTTTCTGATGGCAAAATATTGGCATAGTAGGTTTTATGTTTGTTTATGTAATTTGATTTGATTCAATCTATTAACGTTGTTTTTGTTATTCATTACGTACACCTGGTGAATTTGTTTAATTACTGACTTACTGTTCTCTCTTGGATGTAAGAACACTTATCTAAGGTTAACTAACTTTTCCATATTTGATTATGACGGAATTGGTGGCTAGTCTTGTTTAAAGATCACAAGTATTGATTATTTTGTTGATTCGTTTGATGATGTTTCTTTGATCAGTATGGCTTTGTGTTTCTCCTGTGCACAAATAAAATTGTCCATCTCTCCTTTTAAATCCTCTGTCTCGCTGTTTATGTGAGTATTTTTTCCTTTTGTTGGATAAAATGAAGAAAACATGTTTAAAGTTTGAGCCACGTATCATTTGATATTGCCCTTATTGTTCTTTGATTATTTATTAGTTATGGCTACCATTGTGTGTGGCCACGTAGACTGATGTTGTGGCACCGCTTGTGCTAGATAACATTATTCTTTTCATGAGTATGACAATGGCTAAGGTCATCCATAACATGGCTGTCTTTGCCACTGCACAGACTTCTGCCCTACTTGGTTGGGCAGTCCTCAACCATCTCATCCTGTGGAATGCATAGGAAAGTTTATTTACATAGTTTAAGCTTGCTTTTTTAGGATTTGAAATCTGAAAACTTGTGCCTTTAATAGAGATGTAATCATTTCCAAATTGCTTCTGGTGATACTTGTCTTATAGTTTTTTGCATTTTGATACTAATGATTTATTCTTGATTTGCCTTACCGTAATAAGATCTCTTCCCTGAATAGTTTTTACTGGCTGTTATTGACAGTTACGTCAATGTAGTGATAACTAATGAAATCATTCGTGTACAGGAACCAGAAGACGGGACCTGTAATTGTCGATGGTACTGTATTTGTCAAGTGTGAGAACTGTTCTATGTTATTGTATTTCTTTTCTTTATTTAGCTTGTTCTTGAGAAAGCAAAATGACTCCTTTGCTTGGAGGAGGCGCATGTGGCTTCTGCTACTCTGGAAATGTAATGGTTTATTGCCGTTTTATTTGTGCTACTCTTGTGTGAGTGCCGAACTCATTTACTTTGTAATTTGGTTTATGTGAGTTTGAAGTGTCAAGTTAATTAGACACGTTGTTACAACAAATAATAATATTAAACATAAATATTCCAAATAGAGTTTAACATCAAAATAAGGTTAAATGTTAATCATAGGTTGTGAATTGAAGTAAAAGGAATGGACAAATGTATTCAAATCTCGAGGGCTCGCCTGTTGGATTTAAGCTTGCGCAAACAGTTGATAGTGTGAAAAATGTCGCCCCTATGAAGGGAAAAGCCATTGCCAATCCAGCTCCAGAATGCGGATGCAACTGGCTCTCCTCCTGGTAGTTTCTCAAGCCTTCAGCCTAGTCTCGTTGATTCTTCTTGTTCCTCTACTACTTCTTCCCCTTCAGATTCAAAAATCTGCAATCTTGGATTTGATATTTGGGTGCCAAAGGCGATTTCAGAGCAAAGGTTTTTGGCGCAATGTCCAAGAAATATTAAGCTTTTGATGTATTGCTCTAAAGGGATTATGTTTTCTAGGCAGAACGGCTACTGTTACTTGCATGCTGCAATGGAGAAGAAGAAAATATAGAAATTCGTTTGTGGATTGGAAGTTCAAGTTTCCTGGGTTCAGTTGATTTGTTTCACAGGTTTCATGATTAGGAAAAGGAGTCTTTTGTGCTTGTTTTTGAATGGGAATCAAACTCATTTTTAAATAATTTATTTTGTGGAACATTTTTTTTCAATACATTTTCATTAGCAAAATTTAAATCTTGTAGCAATTGTTGTTGAGTAATTACTCAAGGATCAACTATCAAGTGACCCAACGGAAAGGGGAGGATCAGAAATCGTTGATTACCATACGCATCTTTCCAGTGAAGGAAATCCATCTTTGTGTAATCCCAATTCCGATGCACAAATCGTCAATTAAACGTGGAGATAAGTTTTTGGGTCAACTTGAGGAGTTTAAGGTGGAGAAATTTTTGGTTCGTGACGTAAATATTCCATTTAGTGACTTTAAACGCATTTAAACTGTGATGAAACCACAACAATTTAACTAGATTCGAAAGGCCAAAGCTCGAAGGCCTCTCTGGACATGAAATAGTACCTGAAGGTTGTTCATGCCTTTGGTGACAATTAAGTCACAGATGCACTGCATCCTCCTAATGAAGGAAATTCATCTTTGTAAGAACTCAACCAATTGCAATGTCCAAAGCTTCAACTGAACGTGGAGATAAGTTTTCAGGTCAACTTGAGGAGCTTAAGGTGGGGTTAGGTTTCTGGTTCGTGAACTAAGGCCCTGTTTGATTACTTGGAATTTCATGGAAAATGTCATGCTCGAGAAAACGAATCACTTTGATCGTTTGATTGCAACGTGGAAATGGAAATCGAATTTCAAGGTACAACCACTTTAAGCTGCATTTTCTTTGTTTTCATGTAAAACAAATTCCTATGAGTTTGGTGAGTTTTTATTTTCCAACTAACATGTAATTGGAATTCGTTGCAATCAAACGGTCAAAGTGAAATTCGTTTTCATCTGATGTGATATTTTTCATGGAATTCGTTGCAATCAAACTAGGCCATAGTGACTCTAGACACACTTAAGCTATGATGAAATCACAGCCATTTAACTGGATTCGAAAGACCAAAGCTTGAAGGCCTCTGGGACATGGTGCTCGAAGGTTGTTCATGTCTCTTTCGACGATTAAGTCACGTTTTTAATCTAAGCGTAATTAATATTATTTGCACTGTTCATGTATATTATATAGAATAATTGAAAGTCTTGGACATAATTCTTGCACTCTACTTGTAATAAATTGAGATTAAAAAATGTCCATAGTTCGTAACAATAGAGGAACAATATATTTGAAAATTTAATAGAATATCAAGCTCTGTTCGTCGGTCTAATACATTGAGATTTGTTGTCTATCCAATTAATTATTGACTTTTTATGTCGGTCTAATACATCTCAAATGTATTCTCATTAGATGACATATTAATTTAAAATGATGTGTCAATAATTAATTGGGTGGACATAAAAAATTAGACAGCAGAACTCAACTCCAACTCATTTGTCTAACTGTGGAAGAAAGGCCAGGACAAGTAGAATAAGCTGGAAATGAACAAGCATTCTTGTAAAAATCATTAAATAAATATGCATACGGCATGTCATTAACTTCAAGAAATATATTAGCGTACGAAATTTAATATGTTCTAACTTTGTAAGTTTTGTATGTTAAAGAGAAATATTTATTTATTTAAATTTTAAATATGTGGGCCAAATTCATCTATGACGAAGCACAATTTTTATAAATATACAACGGTGAAACTTACCATGATCTTTGTTTGCAGAATAATATCGTCTAAAAATTAACATTATTCTTGCAGAATCCTCAGGTAATGCTTCCTCATACTTGTTTAAATTCACAATATCGAACGCCTTCCATTGTCTTGCAACTTTCTAGTCGAAGTTGCCATAGGTACAGAAATCTCTTCAATAAAAATTGACACCACTGATTCGGAAACAACTAACTGACAAGGTACTCTAGTCCTTATTCGTACTGCTTACCAAACCTGCCCATTTGTGCTACTCCCTTACAGTATCACACTTCTGAATACATATTACATTTGTTACAGCACAGAATAGTATTATATACACAGTAAATCTAGAACAAAAGTTTCATGTACCAAACTGATCAGGAATCGAGATAGAGAGAAGTAAAATAATCAAGTGCACATAACCTCTTCAAGAAGTTCGTCGAAAATCATGTCCTCCAAATCAAGTGCCACAGTCTCAGATTCTAATTGGAGGTTCATCCAGCTGTAATCATTTGCCAAATCATAAGTGACTATAGAATCCAGTGACTGGTTTTCCTTGGGCTTAAAATTAAGCAATGCGCCAATGCTTGTGCTCACCTGCTCAATAAAGCGGTTTCCAACTGGCATTGGACGAATATGACAACTAGAGGACAATGCCTTCGGATAATAGAGAGATGATCTGTCATATATCTGTATTAACACCTCATTAACCAGATCAAATAGCAGTCGATGATGCCAACAGCCGTAGAAGTCCGGCCAACCGGTTAATTGAGATTGTTCATGGTTCCAGTAAGCCTCGACTTCCTCAAACAGTTCAGGGCTCAGTGGCTCATCAGATGAATGCCATGTTATGTCAAAGGCATTTTCAACGATGCCTGATTTCTCAAGAATGTGTCTCACATAATATAAGTCAGAATCAGTCTCTTTCTGAGATTCACCGTGTCCAAAGCATTTGTTATTTGTGTCTGCATATCCACTTTTCTCAAGATTCAGCGTGCTGTTGAAAGATGAGGACGAGTCCATATAGAAACTCTTCTGATCATGAGATTCAACTGAAGAATTCTTCTGGTAGAAATGATCGTTTTCACTATCCAAACCTAATTTATAGGAGAAAAAAATAGACTGAGAAACTGTAACTCAAAAACCAGTGCTAGAAGTTTCACAATCCATTTTACAAGAAAAACTGATTTTGCAAAATTTCTGTAGGTAAATGATCGAAGAAAGATTAGAACACCCAGAGAAAAATTTGTATGTGATATTGAAACTCTACAATATGAAATGATTAAGCCAAGAGAAATACCTTCAGAAATTTCAAAATCTCCGGGGTGAGATATCATTTCTCGCAAGGATGTCTCAGAATCTGAGATGTGACGTTCTTCTGGAAGCTTTTCAGGCATGATCTCTAGAAAGTTGGTCACTTGTTCCCCGTGGGAATCACTTTCGCCCACTGTTAACTCATCTATTTCCCCTGCACTACCATCCAACACAGAACTATCCTCATGCCTCACTTTCAATCTTAAGCTGGCTTCGTCTTCTATCCTTTGCTTACAGTAATGTTTATTTACTGATTCTTCTTGGCCTTTGGTTGTCTCATTTGCATCAAGTGGCTCATTCTCTCCATCACCACGTGAACTACTTTCTTCTACATTCGTATTGGAGCCATCTGCAGAGAAATCATTGCCCAGAACTCCAGATTTGTGATCAGAATAATAATAATCAACCTGAGATAGAGAGCGAATCCTTCTGTAGTGTATTGGAGCATGGCCATATTCATTTATCGACTTTAAGCTCCTAGAGGGATGTAGCTTGACTTCTGCGCCATAACTACTTGCAAACAATGAAGTGTATTTATCCCCTGATTCATTTAGTGAAGAACTTCTGTAGTGAATTCTCGTACTTTTCCTAATGTTATATTCATCAGTACCGCTGGCAATTGTCTCATTCCGTCTTTGAAAAATGTCGTTCTCTAAATGAGCCAACTGAGGTGATTGACTAAAAGCTTGCAATTTGTCTCCTTCGCTGAATGGCCAAATTTCGTTCTTCTTGTGCTCGAGTTTACTAGGCTTAAATTTTCTCCTTTGCAACAAATCAGCAGCGGGGTAGGATTTCGATTTGCTCAATTTTACAGTTTTATTCGAGGCTAGAAGACTATCAGATTCGGTACCGTTCATAGATTGATCATTGTAAACTTCTCGCATTTCGTTAGCTGCCTTCTTTGATGTATCCAATGACTCAGTTGTACCACTGTCGGGAAGGAAAATGATAGGACGTTTCCAGTCCGTGAGTATTTTATGAAGACCGCCTTCTGTGGATTCCAGATGGTGAATCGAATAAGTTCGCTGCAACCTTGATGGGACAGAGAAACCAGCTTTATGCAGTCCATTCTCTTCTTCTTTGGAATTCCCTTCAGCACTCTGATAAATCCAATTCATTTTCTTATTAGTCACCACTTCAAAATGAATCAATTGCAAACTAAATGTGTATTAGTACTTACAACAAATTTGCGCTCTTGGTCGTTTAAAAGCTTTTCTACTTCACCAGATTCAAAGAATTTAGTTTTCGAACGTCCATAAGCTGCAGAAACTGAGCGCAGAAATGATTAAGAACATTGAACTAAATTCTTAAAAATGTATTCCATAATATAAACTCACGTCTCTTTAACAGAATAGTCGAGAGTGATGTTGGAACAAAAATCAAGAAATTCGTGGTAATGGCTTACATTTTGACTTTCTTCGTCCTTCATATTTTCGGCCATTGGAATGCCAATGATGATAGTCAAGGACGTGGATTAATCCCCCCACGCAGCCCGGCTGCTTATCTTCAAGTTCATCATCAACATGTCTAATCCAAAAGTGCTTCCCCATTATCTAAATCCTCAGGTGACACAGAATACTGCACAAACAATATTTTGATTCAGATACCGTAACGAAAGGAACATAGGAGTTTGTTTGATCAAATAGGAATCTTTAATTTTATTGTGTTGACACTCTTCTTTTTCCTGGAAGCTATTTTTTATTGTGATTATGTTTTAAAGAATAAAGATGCAAATCAAGGCATTAGAGAAGATGAAAAGGGAAATTTCAATCTAAACATTAACTTCGACAGAAAAAAAAAAGCTTTAGGATCAGCTAAACGATTTTTTTTGGCAACAAGGAAACATATAACCAGAAGATTCAATTTTGTTCACGAGTTTCATTAAAAACACAAAACCCAGTAACAAAAAAAAAAAAAAAATTAAAATCAGAGCAGGGAAGCTAGATATTAATGGTACAGTGAACAACCCAAACAAAAAAAATTAAGAATTAGAGAAAATTCTAACCTTTTTGGGCGAAAACCACCCACGAGGGAGGGTAAATGTAGGCTGTAACGGCAGAGATAAAAAGGTAAAATTCCAATTCATGCAGGAGTTTAGGGGCTATGGCGGCTGTAGAGCTCAACCTCAAGACCCATAAATTATGATAATAAATGTATGTATTTATGGTACTACGTTTTGAATATTCCAAGGAAGATTTTCCTGCGTTTTAAAGTATGTGAGAACAAAGAAAATGGAGAAGAATGCTATAAAAGAAGCAGTTGCCAAAGTCAAGTTTTCTGGAGCCCTTTACCCCTCAACTATCCCCATATGAATATTGTTTAGGACAAAGAATGGGTCGAAAAAGTAATTACCGTAACAATCATTTTACATGTACATCATCTTTTACATCAATATTTACATTGCGACACATGGTAATACATTATTGGATAGTTTTAAAAAAAAAATTATCTCGCCCACAATTTTTTGAAAACAAATGGAATGTCAAACACGGTATAAGCCATTGAATGTACATATAGTATTATCCTTACCTGAAATCATAGAGGTTGGACTCTGAGCAACTACTATTAGATCCTTAATTTTATAATGAGATCCTTCTTGGACAAGAAACATAAATTCGTACTCCTTGATATGGTAAAAATACATTATTATAACAATAATGCTCCTCGAACATGGCAAATGATGGAGGGAGGGAGGGGGGAGTTAACAGGATGGGGTGGCAGGACGGTATTGGGTGCCATTTTTTATTTTTTAAACTGTTCAATCATGTATTGCCACGTATCCCCTATGTCATTAACTCTATCATTGAGTTGTCACTATAGCAAGATTGTTATTGTAATAAGTTGATTAAGAAGTGTTCGGGCAAGATTTTCCCGAAAAAATTGGAGATGTAATACCACTTAGTCCCGTTAACAACGTCGCACGACTTAACAACTGAAATGATGAAGATCGAATGAGTGATAAAGGAAATCAAAAAATCTTGGTGTAATAAGGTTGTGAGTTCACACAATAATTTTAAAATCAACAAAAACAGTTTGAGTAATTAACAAATTCAAATCTTAATTGGTCGGAATTGAAGTTTAAACAACAAATTCGAGTCAAAAGATAATCCAACAGTCCCTAAAGACCGTTGTGCTTATGAAGGAACGCAATCCGATATTAAGAGAATTGAACGTTCAAACTTTTCACATCTACAAATAACTCGTGAGACAAAAGACCAATCATCAAGCATATTTATTACAGTAATGCTGTTTAGTCCCATGGGGTTGTAACCCCAGTTTAGGTAGCGTTAATGTGTCATTAAATGATATGTGAAATTAAATAAGTCATTTAATTTCACATTTCATTTAACTTATCATTTAAAATCACATAGACTGTTGTTGTAACCCCAATGGGGCTACATAGCATTACTCTATTTATTACCAGTGCACACGTTTTTGTAATTAGTCTAGCTCGAGGTTCTTCAAAAAAGATGGGAAAGCTAATAAGGTAGTAACTATAGTCTGAATAAGGTTTTCTTTTTTAATTGAAATCTCAATATTTGACACTATAAATTATAGAAATGGTTGTACTTCATATTGAACTAGCACGAGGAACTTGAACTGTACCAATAAATATGATCAATCAATATACATCGTACGATCATATCGATACTCCATATAAGATCTATCAACAAAATTAATCATATACGACATATCTCATATGATGATTGATACATATCTCGATGCCATTCATCATATCGATCCTTGGTGAAAATATGGATAAATATTTGAGACATAGCATTTCATTTTTATTATAGCCCCGTTTGACACCCATTTTTTTCTCTTTCTCTTTCTCATTCTTTAGTTCAACCACACATTCTATCAATAAAATAATATTACACATAAACCTAAAAATTCTCCTTACTTTTTAACCACACATTCTTCCATCAATCACTATTCAAAAACATATTTTTCTACTAGAATGGGTGTCAAAAACATATTACACATAGTATTATTTGTTTCACCCTTTCTAGTTAGTCAAAGTCAAAGAAGACCAACATGTCTAATCTGCTTGGAGTCAAATTCTGCGCCAAATTGGACCATATGGATTACGGCACAAATTTAATTCTAATCTTCAACCGCAGCGTGCATATACATTAATTATTTTACAATATCATAATTTAGGATTCTAGAAATTGTTTTTCATTTTTAACTTTCAAAGTCTAATATCACGACTTTGAACGGTCAAATCCTCTTGAAGTCTCCAAGACAATTTTATCTTCAAATTGATATTAATTATTATAATTAATCCATGCTTGATGGTATTTATTTTATAAAAATTATGTTTTAAATGGTTATTTTTTTAAGAATGTATAATTAAAAGGTGAAAAAATTTGAATTTACGTGCAAAATATTTTATTAAGTAAATGTGTGATCGAAAATGAATATGAAAAATAAATTATTTTGTTTCAAAGAAAATCAAATGAGCTTTATATTGTTATTAATAAAAGATATCTCTTTAATTCTTTCCCGTTAATTCTTTGTTTTAACATAAATTTAATATTTGTGTCATTTGATCTACTACATGAAAAAAGAAAAAAAAAACAGAATTATTTTAATAATTATATATTCTTCTAGCATATTCTAATCCTGAATAAGTAGTTGTTTATAAGAAGATTAGTAAAATTATATACCATTTTAGTGTTTTGTTTAGCTATAAAACATTTGTTTGATATGTATGGGCTTTACTTAAAAGCAGTATTCTAAAATGCTCGCATATGGTCGAAGCAGTTTCGAAACACCTCGCATATGAGGTATAAACATGATAATGCGGTCAACCTATTTTGTTGATTGCATATACGTGCTTAAACTCAAAAATACGCAGTCATTTATGCTAAAAATTGTGTCTAATTTAGTTTAGCAAAATCTAACCCATTTTTGTAACTTAAAAAAAAAAAAGCTCAACAAACATCAAACTAGTCCTAATCACCCAAGTCCATGAATGATATACAACAAGCTAGAGGGTTTTGATGTTTAGAAAAATCCAAACAATTTTTTCTTAGAGTTACAAACTATCTACATTGAGCTCAAGGCTCCTCTTTCTTTGTTATTCCTCTCGTTTCACTATTGAAATCTTCATCGAGTTGCAGAAATTTGAATTTGAAAGTGTATGACTTTTTAAAATCCGTGATCGTGTCTAATCTAATTGTCCGAACTGATAATCAAGTGATTGTAGTATGTACGATTTTGAGTAATATGTTTTTGTTTAAAAAATTGAAAAATATGTATAAAGTGCAAGTAATTGTGATATTTATGATTTTTTTAGTAATATGTTTCTTTTTTTATTTGCAAAATATGTATAAAGTTCAAATAATGAATTATTATTTTATTTATTAGTTTAAAATATTAAAAATTGAAAAATACATAATTAAGCATATACTTCATATAGACATGCATATACTTGTAATACTTAATATTCGATCAAAATGCATTACCACACATTACAAATTTTAGAACTTTATTTAAAAGTATGAAGTTGATTAACTAGAGTTCGTTTGGCAAGGCTTTTTCAAGGTTAAAATCTGCTTCTAAAATTAAGCAGTTGCTTTTGAAAACAAATTGCGAAAATTTTCTACAAATACTTTATTTAGCTCCTATTTGGTGTAAATTAAAATTTAAAATTTAATTACACTTTCATCAACTTTTATCAAAATATGTTAAAAATTTAATTTCAATTGCCACCAAACAAGGACTTAATTAGAAGAGTTTTCAGAAAACGTATTTCCTCGTAAAACTTTTTTACATGAAGTAGAAACTGAAGCAAGGCACGGGCAAATAGGCATGTAGATATCTTTATTTTAGTAGCGTAATATGATTATTGCTATTAATAATATTAATGACATAATAATATCAATGACACAATTACAATATATTGCTGTTAAAGTCGAAAGATTTTTTATAGTTATTCAATTAAAATAAAAGATCTTGGTCGATTAAGTGATTTTTCTCAGTCTTAAATCTCGTCCCAAGACTCGAAATGGTACTAAGGAATAGAGTGCGTAAATTTGTGTCTTTTTTTTTTCTTGCCATCTTTTTTGCTACACTTGTTATCATGTTGTGCTTATTTTTCTTAACACGTTTTTGGAGTCGAACTCACTTCAAATAAGATAACTCATATTACATCTTAAAAATAATATTCAAAACTCACCCTCATGGCACATCTCCAAGTGGTAAAAGTAAAAGGCGAAGGTCAAAAAACTCCAACTTTGCTTGAGACTGCTGCGTCAAGGGTTTGAATCCTGAAATATGGATTTGGCCATTGGATAAGTGCAAGTGTACAAGCAACCTTCCACCCTGGACCTTTGGAGGCATAACCTACGATTTACTTCTTTTACCAAGGCTCAGGGCATGGCAGGTGGGGGTGGCTAAGGATGCGGTTCATCCTTTAATAATATTCAAAACTCATTTTTTCCCAATTAATGAGAATCAAACATGCTCTAAATGTAATCATTGTTAATTAAGAATAGAGAATGAGTTTGACTCTCGAAATTTGGAGAGTTATAAAAAGTTAAAATGAAGAGTCTCTTTGGAACTTATTTTTAAGTATTGACTCTTTTAAATAGATAGTCTTTTGAAAATGTTTTAAAGTTGTTACTCGCCATTTGACTATGACTTGAATTAACATTTAGCTCTTGTTTGGGCTCCAATTTATCATAAAAATACATTTTAGAATAGTAAAAAGATGGAGAATGTGGTTGAAAATTAAAAAAAGTTTTAAATTTGCGTGTAAAATTATTTTATAAAAGAATGTATGATTGAAAATAAATGTTAAAAAAATGAATTTTGAGAATAATAGATCTCAAACAGGGCTTTGATAGCTCAAAATGGTCTCTCTCACCAAACAAGGTTCCTATTTATGTCTAATGTTTTATTAATCAGTGGTGCAAATCAGAAAAAGAGTTGCAAAAAAGGATTGTGTCCCTACCCCTTAGCATGGAAACACACACATCCAGCTATAAAGGGCTATTAAAAAATAAATAAATAATGTACCTCCCCTAATAAGGGAATGTGCCATGTTTTGTTTGTTTCCCTTTCTTTTACAAGAGTTCCTCGTGGAGATAATTGCAGCATTGATATCAAACTTTTCATGTAGTAATAGACTTTGTCGAAACAATTTATTTGTGTTACTCACAGTACCAAATCTTTCAAATGTCGCAGCTGAAATCCAAATGAATTGTTTCTGTTAATTTGATCGTTAGTTAAATAACTAAAGTGGAGATCTCTTGGAGTGCCCAATTTTGTGAAGGGCTAACTGGAAGCTCTACTTGGGAGTTCTCGCCACCGCATCACCCATTCACAAATTGCATAACACTTCGACTGAGAGTGAGATTGATTGTGGGAATTCTGTGGCGATTGAGGGCGTCATTGCGTTCTATGCCTTGACACTTTATCGGGCTCTTGAATGCTCTTATTCTCAACGTTACATCGTTACATGATGGTGATGGTTTTGGGTGTGGATGGAGAGGAAAAAATTCAACGAATGGATTTGGCTCTTTGTAGAGAATAAATGCTTAAAAATAAACTCCAACTCTTTATTCTGACTTAAAAATAAATAGTGGATTTGGCTCTATCTCCATTCTTATTTTTATAATGATTGCATTTGATAATCAGCAGATTTCAATAATCTATTTCTTAAATTATTGAAATCTGCCAGTGACTATGAATATTCGAGTTACAATCCTGTTGCTTTTGATATAGCAAATCATTTCTGTGAGATGGCAGCTGACTATCATACAGAAATCCCTCATGTTCTGGACTATAGTAAATATCTAGGTAGGCAAGCTGTAAATATCTTTTGCTTTCATTTTTTCGTCACTTTGTGAAAGTTAGATTGTGCCCCCCTAGTTTTGAAAGTCTGCGTCCGCCCATGAACTCATATTACATCTTAAAAATAATATTCAAAACTCACCCTCATGGCACATCTCCAAGTGGTAAAAGGGGAAGGTCAAAAAACTCCAACTTTGTTTGAGGCTGCTGCGTCAAGGGTTTGAATCCTGAAATATGGATTTGGCCATTGGGTAAGTGCAAGTGTACAAGCAGCCTTCCACCATATACCTTTGGAGGCATAACCTACGATTTACTTCTTTCACCAAGGCTCAGGGCATGGTAGGTGGGGGCCGCTAAGGATTCGGTTCATCCTTTAATAATATTCAAAACTCATTTTTTCCCAATTAATGAGAATCAAACATGTTCTAAATGTAATCATTGTTAATTAAGAATAGAGAGTGAGTTTGACTCTCGAAATTTGGAGAGTTATAAAAAGTTAAAATGAAGAGTCTCTTTGGAACTTATTTTTAAGTATCGACTCTTTTATTTAGATAGTCTTTTGAAAATGTTTTAAAGTTGTTACTCGTCATTTGACTAAGACTTGAATTAACATTTAGCTCCTGTTTGGGCTCCATTTTATCATGAAAATACATTTTAGAATAGTAAAAAGATGGAGAATGTGGTTGAAAATTAAAAAAGTTTTAAGTTTGCGTGTAAAATTATTTTATAAAAGAATGTATGATTGAAAATAAATGTTAAAAAAATGAATTTTGAGAATAATAGATCTCAAACAGGGCTTTGATAGCTCAAAATGGTCTTTCTCACCAAACAAGGTTCTTATCTATGTCTAATGTTTTTATTAATCGGTGGTACAAATCAGAAAAAGAGTTGCAAAAAAGGATTGTGTCCCTACCCCTTAGCATGGAAACACACACATCCAGCTATAAAGGGCCATTAAAAAATAAATAAATAATGTACCTCCCCTAATAAGGGAATGTGCCATGTTTTGTTTGTTTCCCTTTCTTTTACAGGAGTTCTTCATGGAGATAATTGCAGCATCGATATCAAACTTTTCATTTAGTAATAGACTTTGTCGGAACCAATTTATTTGTGTTACCCACAGTACCAAACCTTTCAAATGTCACAGCTAAAATCTAAATGAATTGCTTCTGTTAATTTGATCGTTAGTTAAATAACTAAAGTGGAGATCTCTTGGAGTGCCCAATTTTGTGAAGGGCTAACTGGATGCTCTACTTGGGAATCCTCGCCACCACATCACCCATTCGCAAATTGCATAACACTTCGACTGAGAGTGAGATTGATTGTGGGAATTGTGTGGCGATTGAGGGCGTCATTGCGTTCTATGCCTTGACACTTTATCGGGCTCTTGAATGTTCTTATTCTCAACGTTACATCGTTACATGACGGTGATGATTTTGGGTGTGGATGGAGAGGAAAAGAAAGGTGGAAATATGTTTTTAATTTTAATTATTTGATTTTAGTTATTTTATTATTAAAAAATGTAAAGTTACCATTTTAACATTTTTGGGCATTGGCCTGAGCATGAGCCAGCTAGTATCATCGGCCATTTTGGCTCGTGACATGGTATATACATACGTGCTAATTTATGGTAGCATATCTGATTGCATTGTAATACTGTTAGCAAGCAGCTTTTTTTTTTAATTAAGAAAATTGACTTAATTTATTTTTCTTTTCAAATTTAATGAATAAAAAAAAAGAGCTGGTTTGGGCAGCCTGTGGTTCGGCTGTCGAAAGCTCGAGTTGAGCTTTAAAGTTTTTTGGCCAAACTTTGACTCGACTAGGCTCAAGCTAAAAAAGCTCAAACCATTTTTTAACATAGCCGACTCGTTTACATCCAGATATGAATCTTGATCTTGTGAATGGAATTCAAAAATAAATAAATCAATGTATTACATTCACTTCCTGGTCAATTTGTCTAATTACCTATTGTACATGAATATAGAGTACTCAACCATTATGAAATATAGTACTTATGTCAATTATATATAGATAGTACTCGTGTATGAGAAAAAATATATCATCCTCTACTTGGTCCCAGCGACACAATCTTTATGAAAATTAATACATTTGTACAAAAGAGTTCTAAAAATTCGTAAAATATTCATTCATTTTCTCTCCCACTCGTTTAAATATTTTGGCACTGTTGGTACACATTATTTTTTTCATTCTCATTCTTCTACTTATTTTCAACCACATATTCTTCAATAAAATAATATTTTTCATCGCATCAATAACTTTTCCTTCATTTTTAACTACACATTTTCCATCAATCTACTATTCAATAATATATTCTTTTAAAAAAATGTGTCACAAACACACTCAAAATATATCCCTACTTTATTGACTTTTGAAGTAAAATGATGAAAATACTATCACAATATTACATAATGAAATTTGAAATCCCATCTTACAATGATTTTTGAGGATAATATATTTTGGAATAGTAATTTTTTTAAGAATATGTGGTTAAAAAAATGAATTTTTTTTAAAATTATGTGCAATGTTATTTCATTAGAAAATGTGTAGTTAGAATGAGAAGAGAAAAAAATGTATTAAATTATAAGGAAAACCGAACGGGGCTTAAAATAATATGGAACCCCCCCTCCCATTTACTTCAAGTTGAAGCCTCCTCAACTCGAGCAATTTTCCACTTCAGCCAAAAAGAAAAAAAAAAATTCTACCTACGTACCTATGTAATGTCAGCAACAGATGATTGAATATAAAATTTGACTTTTTATTAAACAGTTTAACATTAGAATACTACATAACATCATATTAAAGAGATGGGCAAAATTTTCTAACGACGTAGCATGGGTACGAGGGTGCCGCTTGATCTCCGACGATGTTCAACCCATGTTTGTTTCACAATTTTGACAAATCTTAAGATGCTCATTCTATCTAAAACACTGTAATTACGATTGTATATCTAATTTTTATAAGAGTAATGTTATGTAATTCTATTGGAGTTACAACCTCAATGTAATTGGCTCTAAATGATAAGATAAATAATCACTTATCATTTAATGTCATATTTGCACTATCTAAATTGAAATTGTAATCTCAATAGAAATAACATTATTCTTCTTGTAAACTTTAATAATCGCTAAAATTCACAATGAGTGTGAGTGCATCAAGAATAAAATATAATAATTCTCCGATTACCCTATCACCATCACCAACCCCACTCCACCCCTCAACATGTTCACTTTCCTTACTCATCCCAGCTCACTGCACTCCACAGAAGCAGAAATGGCCATCTCAATCTCCATTCCCAATTATACCCCTCTGCCATTTCTCTATTTACTCCTCTTTTCTTCTTACCACCTCCCCATTTTGTCCATTAATGTCACCGATTTGTTAACCTCGTACCCCGATCTCTCGGACTTCACGAATCTCTTGACAACCACCGGCGTCGCTTCTGATCTGGCCCACCGCACCTCCGTTACGATCCTGGCGGTTCCCAACGCGTTCTTGCGTAGTTCCTCTGCCGATCTCACGCCGGGGAACCACCCTTCTTCTAGTAGCCTCGCCGACGTTATTCGATACCAGGTACTCCTTGAGTACTTGTCTTTGTCCGACCTCCGCCGCATGCCTTCCGCGGGGAAACTCGTCACCACCTTGTTTCAGACAACCGGCCGTGCTGCGTCGAACTCCGGCACAGTTAACATCACGTTTAACCCTTCTTCTGACGCCGTCACTATCTACTCCCCTACATCTAATGCTACTCTCCTTGCCCTAATTAAAACTCTTCCTTACAACATCTCGATTTTCTCAATTAATTCGCTTCTAGTACCTTACAATCTCGATCTAATGGCTTCTGAAACTCGCCCGCCTTTGGGGCTCAATATTACGAAAGCACTAATTGATGGGCACCAATTCAATGTGGCGGCATCGATGCTTCAAGCATCTGGGGTTGTGTCTGAATTTGAAGCCCATGAGAATGGTGCCGGAATCACACTTTTCGTACCCACTGATGACGCATTTGCCGATCTGCCTTCATCGGTAAAGCTCCAGTCTCTACCGGCTGACCAAAAAGCACAGGTTTTGAGATTCCACGTTTTGAATTGTTACTATCCATTAGGTTCTTTGGAATCAATAGTGAATCCGGTTCAACCCACGTTGGCGACGGAGCAATATGGGGCTACGAGTTTCACCTTAAACATTAGTCGGGTTAACGGGTCGGTGGGCATTGATACCGGGATAGTGCAGGCGTCCGTGACCCAAACGGTGTTTGATCAGAAGCCAGTGGCGATTTTTGGGGTGTCCAAAGTTTTGTTGCCCCGAGAATTTTTTGGGAAGAATCCAATTGAGGTGAACAAGCCAGTAACAGCAGGAGCTCAGCCACCGGATATTGCACTCTCTCCAGAGCCTGGAATGTACAGTCCAGCAGGTCGTGTTTCATCACCGGCTGGGATGGAAATTCGATCTGTGGCGGCAGCTGAAAAACTGGGATTGCAAAGATTATTGTTGAGTTTGTGGTGTCTATGGCTGAATTATCTATATCTATGGCGATGAAATTTGATTATTTTGGGATTGTAATTTGTCATAATTAACACGAAAAATATAATTGGGGGCCTACAAAGGTAGTCATTTTCCCGGTGGTATCATTCATCAGTCTCATGAGGTAAAGATTATCAAATTTGTGCTTAAATTGCCAATAATTCTAGATCCCAATTTCATTTGTATTTTTATTTTTGTATCATTTCTTGTATTTGCATTGTCGATTGTTGTTGTAAAGCACTTAATTTTTTTTTTTAACATATGAAATATATTACCAAATTCTGTAATACAGTGACTGAAGAAATCATTGGGTTTCTTATGGTTCTGTTGCACATATTCTTCAAGGACTAGATTGCAGGAAAGCTGAAATTTACAAGGTTGATATCAGAAAATTTTGCTGACTTTTGGGATTTGTCGCAGAAAAAAAAAATGCAAACTTGCCGACTTAAAAAGTGTTATAAAGGAAGAGAAATTATGTTCATGGATTAAATTGGTGTAACAGGCTCAATGACAGGGCATTTTTCCAGATTTTGATTCGCGGGCTTTTTTTATTTTTTTTCTTTAATTGCCAGTAAATTTTTGACAAGTGCGTATCCGTAAAATAATAATAAAAAAAAGAATTCTGTCATTCATCCTTTTCATGTAGCACGGTTGTCCTTTCCTTTCATGCACAAATTTTGCATCAACCTTTCTTCTGCTATACATTATTCTGTTTCAGCAGTTGCTGCCTTTATATCACGTCTGTCACCAAATATTTGCCTGTCAATTGTTGTTACTTTGTGTTTTCTTGTTCTATGTTTTGTTTTGCGTGTTTAAGTGCTTAGAATTTGATACTTTAGAACCTGAAATTCCAGTTTGAGGAAGTTTGATCATTGTATTAGTTCTTATTTGTGTCAATTTCACTCATGGCCACCCTACTTTCTGTCTAGTTACACCATGGCCACCAAACTTTAATTTGTTTCACCATGGCCTTCGAACTTTCCACTTCATCTCACCATTGCCACCTAACATTAAAATGTTCATAGGTTTACCCTTTATCAAAATGTTCAGAGGTTAGGAACCACGAGTGCTATTTACCCTATAAAGTCCGGTGATCATGGTGACGGTAAGAGGAAGGTTTGATGGTCATGATGAAACAAATTAAAGTTCGTGACCTTGGTAACACCAAGTGGAAGGTTCGGTGGCCATGATGAAACAAAACAAAGTTCAATGGCCATGGTGACACTAATTGAAAAAATTGGTGGCCATGGGTGAAATTAACATGTTCTGATTTTGGCGGTCCAGATGAAAAATGGTGATGTTTTTTCTTTTTTATGTGTCAAAATATCTATTTTATCCCTATTAAATTAAAATTCAAGTTAACTCGACGCTTACTAACTTTTTTCCTAATGAGTTATTGCAAATATTTGTATGTAAAATTATATAAATTATTTCTAATATGAACCGTGCTATAGGTACAGGATCCTGTACCAGAAACAATACATACACCAGTGTGGTGGGTGTGGGGGGTTTTTGTCAATATTTTAATTACATGGGGTCCACCCCATATGAGTGAAATTCAAAATTCTGTATCAATTTTGTGCATTATTCCCTGTACTCAAAGCATTATTCTTCTAATATAGCCTATGTTTGAGCTCATATTTTCCAAAACTTGTTTTCAACCACATTTTTTTATAAAATAATTTTACACGAAAATTCAATTTTTTCCCTATTTTTTTTATATCAATATTCTCCAAAAAATCACTATTTTAAAACCTATTTTTCCTATTAAAAAAAATGGTGCAAACAAAGTCATAGTTATATTGGTTTTCATGTACGATGTCTCAAATAGCATCGTACACAAAGATATTTTGGACTTTTGGACTGGCATCTTAAAAATAAATAAACAAGGTAAAACTCTTTACAATTTATTTTTGGGTAGAACCTTCGAGCTTTAAGGTAAACCACTTGTAAGTTGTGGCACAGGAAAATCGTGATTGCAATCAACTACAAAAAGCGAAAAGAACTAGAAATTGATTCTAAGTAATTTGAGCGACCGTAAGAACCAAGACGTGCTAAAGAATCAGTCTCTTGGTTCGTTTCGCGATAAACATGTGATATATCAATAGATATAACCTGAGCAAGCTCTAAAATATCCTCCCAATAAGATGAATAGACTAAGGAATGATAACATGATGATGAAATCAATGAACGACCACACTGGAATCTGTTTCTGTAGCAATCATCTCTATGCCAAGGTCATACGATATTTGAAGGCATATTTTAAGAGCCGATCCTCCACCAAAGTGTTAGAACCACTCCAAGATAATGATAGAACCCAAAAATTACCTTCTCCCGTCAATCCCGAAGCTGCAACTCGCTTTTGAATGATAAAAGAACTCTTGGTCACCATAATTAACTGCCTAGAAACAGCTTCATAACGTCGAAGAAATCTGATAGGTGTATTTTATATTCGGGGTCTCAAATATCGATATTTGATAATGTTTTTGACAAAATATATCCTAAATTGTTGTATTTTATGTTTAATTGATGAAACTCTATAAATGAAAAAAGAATTGAAGGAAAGAAGTAAAAGGTGGCGAAAAATGGCAAAATTCAAATTACGGGAACTAAATTGGTATTTGTTGCACAATTAAGTGGACTTAAGGACTAATTTGCATTTCATGAAAGAATTGAGGACTTGAAAGTAATCACTAATTTAATTGGGTATTGGAATTAATTGGACCTCAACTTGGATTTAAAATTAGACACAAAATGTGGTGGCTTGAGGTTATATTTTATATACACGCACGGACAGACAAAGAAGGCAGAAGGGTTAGAATTAGAAAAACACATTGGGCGGCTGCAAAGGTTGAGTTAATTATATATACACGTACAGAAAAAACTTCCAGAGGCAGCAGCTAAATTGGAGGAAATTGGGAAGAAAAAGTGCGGTGGCTAGAAAAAAAAACACACACGAGGAATTTGGAAGTTGTCAATTTATCGGTGATGTCGTTTAATCCTTATTTATGTAATTATGACATTATGTTTGGCTAGATTTCTATATTGTTAGAATGTAGATGAACCCTTATTATTAGATTTTTTGTATTAATTAATTATTTTGACGAGTGGTTTTCTTGAATGTTTATTTTTGTTTTCACCGACTTTTCAATTAATTAGCTACTAATTGAGATGATTTATTGGAATCTATTATTATTGAGAGAGATAATAGGTTTTAGCTAAAAATAATAAATATTGTAAAGTTCGATAGAGGATGGAGATATACCTCTATGATTTATATGGTTTCTATAGGTGTTTCAGATCGTTTAATGCATTTATCATGTTTGCATCTTTCATCGAGAGATATGAGAGTTACATGAGGAGAATATATTTGATAACTATCGAATGAGGTATTCAATTAAATTAGGAACACTAACCAACAAGAATGATTACAAATTGTCATATTAATTTGTTGTGCTAAAAAAGATTAGCAAGGGGGATTCGACATTTTACCAATATTTTCACATATTTAAAATCAAACCAGTTAAATTATTTTCTAATTTAATCGATAATTTAGATATTAGTTTAGAAAACTCAAAACATGATTGTTATTCGATTAAGGTTGCAATTAATTTGAACTTGATCGAATACTTAGTTTTCGTGGGTTTGACACTCTACACACTACTATATTACTTGTTCAAGATCACATTCACTTGCGGAAAATCAAAAGATCAAAATCCTATTAAATTATTAAGGCTACGTTGAGTGACATTAAACAACGGCAATAATTGATCGCCTTGTCTAAGTTTCGCAGTTTGTTTCTTTTAATTATTTTAATTGCCTTCAAATGTGAAAAGGCAGAATGTCAATATTTATCTTTTTATATATAAAAAGTGC